TACTCCCTTTTCAACTAACAAAAATGGAAGTGGCAGGACGGCCTTTAAAGAGGATGGTCGGCGGAGTTGCGGGAATTTACTCGCGTAGGTTGTTCGCTCGAGACATGTCTGATATTGATATGACTGTGCAACTTAGAGTACTTCGGTCAAGCACAAACTCATGACAAATTTCTACTCACGAGGGACCCCCGCCCGCGGCCCGAACCAAACGACTTTCATTTTTGAAGGAACCTGCATCGACGCCATGATGCCCACCAGTTGCTTCTCCACTTGTATCACGGAGGCGGTGGAAACTGGAACCGGCCGGCGCTCCTCAAATCGGGCCAAGTGCCAAGTTGGGCCCAGGGCACTATCCGACCAGGCTACCAATTTCGCTGAACTTGTGGTTCAGACTCTGAGGGTGTGGTGAAAGGGGGAACGCCAGGAGACATGCATGTCACAATCAGCATGCACACTATGCTACAAACAACAACAAGGATAAACCGTAGAGATCTTGCAGGTTTCCACAACCTGATTTGACATGTGCACCATGCAATCTGGGGTGCACATTTCCGTGCGGCGTCATGGGCTACGCGAGCCGGTTCAAGACATGCAGCGGCATCCAGAAAGTTTACTCCCACAAGCCCATCGCACGCCAACAAGGGCCCCGGGTCTGGGCTTGACTGTCCAAACGTTTGCCACGATTGAACCACTGCCTACAGAAAGCAGTGACAGGCCAGCCGGCCATGGTTAATGGCACGAACACCGACGTACATGTACTGCACCCGCTATTGGGTAGGGACTTAGATGCTCCGGCAGCATCGGCCAAGGCAAAAGGGGGTATTCTTTTGGCGATTCAAGTCGAGGCCTCTGGGAGTCCCTGCGTCCTCTATGATCACATGCTCGCCCATGTCACTGTCGCCATAGCCGATCTCGCCCGCGCCCACAGGGGAAAAAGGCCAGTCATTTCCGGAATGGACCGACATCCCAGGGCTTCATCTGAAACGGCCGCGGGCGGGTTTCGGTGGGCCCAGATAGACGGTGCAAAAAATAAATTTCAGTGGGTAGAATCAGTGGCTACAGGTTCTGGGTTCATTGCCTACTTCAATGACCACAGGCATGCAACGTTTCCTTCCTTCCTTGCATTCCTCGCTTCAAACATCCCTTTCATCAGATTGCCCAACACCTGGACAAGCAATGGTTCCTGAGAATCAGAGCCGGGCCAAACAAGCAGGGAAGCTCAACCAAGTAATGCTGGTCGGATCCCGACTCCAAACCACAGGCAAGAACCCCGACAAATCACAACCGATCCGCACTCCTCCAAGGTGTGTCAAAGCATGCGGGTAAGTATTTCTTGAGGTTGCCCGAAGGTTTCAGGAAATAAAACGGAACACCAATATGTTTCATGGACTCCTCCTTGAGACATAGCCAGAGCCAAAGGGTGGACACCAAGGAAAACCCACTGAAGGGTTTTCACCGCTTTGCATGCCAACTGACCTGCGCACGAAGGTCAGGGAAACCACCTTTTTGCGCCTGTGTAGTGAGTAACTGAGTATTTGTACGAGCGAGATACGCGATAAGTCCAACGCCTTCGGCCTGCAACAAATGCGAATGTAGGAAGCTCAAGAATAAGAACTCTGTTAAAACATGTTCCCCAAGATCTCCAAACACCTAGGGATTTTCTTCCGGGAAACATCGGACAATATTTCAATTTCTAGGCAGATCCGTAGAGCCAGTCGCACGTCCGGACCAATTGATTGTTTTTCCAGCAGGTTAGATATCTATGATTGTTGGATAACCCAGATAAATTAAGTGTGCATATATATATACATGTACACAGCACATATTCAAACGATATAAGTTACTTTATTGATACTATTCGCTGACGTCTAAGAAACCTCAAATATCTCTGCTATCTATTCAATTGAATCCGAATCGCACAATTCACAAAAACAACAACACGTTTGTACATATATACTTCAGCAAACAGGACCAAACGCAGCAAACGAGCCAGCGTTGCCTTTTCCACTAGTTTGTTTTAGGCAAGTCCTCTTCGTAGGCATCCTCGTGCCCCCCGCCCCCTCACCCCAAAGGTTGCGAAGCAGGCATATCCAAGTGGCAGGCGGCAAAGCATGCGCCCGGGCAATGACGGCAGGTGCTAAACCAGTCCAGCCCAGAAAGGGCGGGAAGGCCCTGCCATACCACCCCGAGCTTCCCACCCACACCGCCAAGTACAAACCTCAAAACACACAACTTCAACCAAAAAACACCATCGACTCGTGCAGCATTTATGTTTATCAGCATCAAACCTTTACCGTCTATATGTATCGAACCATATCAACCATTTATCTCCAATTCATATACTTTGCATTTCATTCATCACATAGATCTAGTCTTAGATCAGTTTCAGGGGCCCCGCCCAGCCACCGACTGAACAACCATGGACCCACCGACCGTCCGAAAATCCAATCTTGCCCTAAAGACCTGGGAAAGAACATGAGCCAAGCCTAGGGAAAGCCAACAGCAGCACCGGGGCTCATGTATTGGATACCGACTTGTATTCCGATTCATCTAGACACAAAAGTTGTTGTGAAGCACGCAATGGCATACAAATGACACAAGCAAGCATATACACATCAGCAGCAATAACAATCAAATCAAAACCTGCCGAATCATGACATTGTGGATGTTATGTAGATGATAATTCCGAGTCGGCGTGCTCATCTCTCAGTGAACATTTGTCCATGCTCGTGGACGTATCATGTCTGCCGAGGCTGCCTTTGACAGTGTCGGCATCTAGCATGCAGGATGTCACCCAGGATGCTACTCCATCGGCTGCTGTGAGAGTCTTGGAATGCCACTGGTTGAAGAGCAACACCTGCTTGCAACCAATGACAACACATTCTTGTGGACCTGCCACTTCTCCATCAAGCCAAGCTTCCAAAACTGCATACTCTTATTCACATGGTCATCCGTGGGAAGCAGCGAAGCTTCTACTGAGTGGCAGCTCAATAGAACTTGGTTGCATTGAACAGGATCCTTCCAGCCACTTCCAAAAGAAACAATCCACTGTATGATGAACATCCCGGAACCCTGGGCGCTGATGCCATGCATCCCAACAAGTACTTCTTCGTGGAGATAGCAGCCGCCAGGAAACCCTACCGGCTCAGTCCACAGTCCCGCTGCTCGGGGTGCGTCTTGCCAAGGCAGAGAGGCCTCAAAGGCTCGCGCGCATTTGTTCGCGACTTGTGACTCACGAAGCGGCCAAACACAATCAAACACAAGAAGCAATGTCGGGCACAAACTGGAAACTATAATGTTCCACGTCACGGCTTGCCCGCTTTCTTTCGCGGGTTGCAATGTCACCATGAGACACTTGTGACGGGTATCCACTTCCAGCCTACTAGCGTTCAAGAGATAGTATGCTTGCGCTCATGATTTTAATGGCGCCTTTTGGAAATGAGCCAAGATCTGGCTGGTTGGATTGATCCCGATGGAGGACTTGAAAAGCCCCTGGCTGGCACGTCAAGGATGAACAAAGAAAAGGTTTCTTACGAGGCAGCCCTGCATGGTCTCGTGACAAGCCACACGAGCAATCAAATGAAGATGCACTGTATGCAGCTCCAAAAAGATGCGCCAAATCACCCGCGAAACAGTCAAAGAGTGACTGCTGCCAATGAAAAACACATCGAGCAATCATGTGCAAAGCGACGTCACCCAGTTATCTCCTTGGCACATGTAGAAGCAGCTGTCAGTGTTGGCGCAGTTCCATTGATGTCCGGCAGCACAGCGCGCATGTTTTACTTCAAAGCGCCATCCGGTGGCATCAAACATAATAGCTCTTGCTGCCCCTTTGCACATACAAAGCCGGCACAGTCCTTGCCCTGAGATGTGCTGCTCAATTCGAGCTTGTCTGGGGAGAGCCAACTTCGTGTGTCCGGAAGTAGGCTACTCTTCCAGAGCCATGCGCAACCAGCAAGAGAGCATTTGTCTGAACAACTTGCTTGGTGCCCTTTTCTCCTCGCACCCCACTTCTGGACCTTGCAAAGGATTTCTCGCCCGTAAGGTCCCGTGAGAAGGGTCCTCTGGCGCTAAGCGGCCAGTGCGAGCCAACACATTCAACGAGCGTTGCCGACTGTGCTGACTGTTCTGACAGTTGTAAATGTCAAATTTCGCAACTCACAGACCATGGTCCTACAAAAGGGCAAAGCTAGCTCTTGCCATCCGAAAGAAGCTGGATCAGGTCTGGATTGGAGAACAAGTCCATCAGCTCCTGTCGTCGGCATGGTCACCAGGGCGGTACAGCAAGATTGGTTTATGGAGAGCGTGTCTTAATCCCTTTTACCCCAATTTGACCTGTGCAATGATTTAGGAACCTAAACCATAATCAATACGCACTCGTCCTGGAATGCAGGCTTGGAATGACCGTCCAGGAAAACATGCCTGAACTTTGCAGTGATGATAGAATCAATTAGGCATAGCCTTGGGTGGCCTGCTCCGCTCATCTCAGCTTGGGTGCGGCGTGCAAGCTGCGTGTTCCTTGTCTTTATGCGCAGCTATTGGTACAAACCTTAGGCCTTCTTCGGGCGAAATCTTGCGGGACCATCGCCCGGAATCAAGCCACACAACGAGCCTTGGAAGAGATCTTCTCCCCCTCATCTTCACCTTCGGCATGCTGTGCTCATGTCGGAACCGACTCTTTCATACGTGCTCGGGAGCCTCCTTGCACCCCACTCGTGGAAACCAAAACATGTGCCATCCGCAACCATCCTTTCAGCACAGTTGAAACCTTCAAAATGCAAAACAGCTTTGTTTCTCGGAATGGTTCAGTTGACTGACGGATACCGTGCCTGCTTTTGGTTCATCTTTCTCCTCCGTGCGAGCCTCCCGAGTCTCCTGCAAAATGGCCAATGTGTTTAAAAAGTTTACGGGTTGTAGCTGATGAGCTCTATCGTCCATTCTGCATTGTAGCCTTCACAATATTTGCATGACAAGTCAAGTGCCTCAGACTCAACTCCTCAATGCATGCGGGACCTGCGGGACCCGCGGGCCCGCACATGGAATTATCTCTGTGAGCGGGCGCGTTCAGGGCAACCTCAAGGCAACTTCAAGCTGGCGCCTTGCGGCTTCAATCAGGGCGCCTTCACGGCAAATCCGTTCACGTGAAGTTCATGCTTCCTTTGAGTCGGTCACAATTCCCGCTGTCCCGCTGTGTGTGCGAGCGACTGTGGTCGGCCTGCTCCACCCTTCCACCCTTCGATTCAGAACTCAAGCTTCGGTACTTTCAAGACTGGAAGCCAGCAGTTCAAAGAACTCAGTCACTGCATCACCCATCACTTCGCAGCTGCTCCTCATGCTCCTTGGGTGGCTGTGCTTGTGTCTCTTCCTTCACCTTGGGCGCATCAGCCTAGGCCAGGGGAGCATGAAATTGACTCACCTCCACGTTGACGTGAGGCATCTAGCCAAAACACCATCTCTCTTTCCGGTCTACTGCTTGCTCCTGCTTTCAGGACTCCTCTTCATCAGGTTTAGTGATGAGTCTAAGGCATCTTCAATGGCACAAACAGTGAATATACCCGTTGCGTTAGCAGATTTCTCCGTGTTGTTGCAACCTGCTGCAAGGAGGTTGCAAACACGAAAGCGCAACAGGAGTACAGCATATTTTAATAGAACTTTACTCTTGCGCTTTCATTGGCCAAACTATGAAAACGGGTTCCCAAGGCGAAAAGGGAGCAGTCAGGCCATGGAGCGGTGCCAATGATGCCCAGCAAGCTGCCGCTGCGGGGGATGTGCGTGTTGAGCTCGTAGAGCGCCTTCAGGACCTCGTCAGCCACAAGGAACAGCTCAGTCTAGAAGGAGCAAGTGAAAACGGGCCAGGATTTTATACAATAACTCCACTAGCACGCTGCCACACAATCAAACAGAAGTTAGTCAGACTGAGCAAGCCTAGAGCTGGTGAAAGCAGAATTATTTGCGCACGCCCCCGAGCATGCCAAAGGCCTTTGTTCGCAGCCCTTTCCATCTTGCAAAGAACTGAGCAAAAAAGAGAGGCTCGAGCTGGACACCGAAACATGCAGGATGCAAAACCGCATCTCTCACAAGGTTCAATTCCTTCTGTAAAATGTCAAGGCCCACTGCCCATGGCTCATGTGGATGTATAGAAAGGTTTGTACCTTCATTCTTTGAATTGCGGCTTGCAGCATCACATGCATGCAGGTCTGCGGCAAAGGCTTCAAGGCACCGCAGGGTGCAAAGAACGGTCTTAGATGCTTCTTGAAGCCCTTTGCCCACGGAAACAAATTGCAATGCGTGGAAGTAGCGTGGTTATGGCTGCAACAAGTAATATGCTGTTTGCACAGAATGCTCTGTCAACAGAATAACAAGGGTATTGCACCCTTGTGTTCTATATCAAGCCAGTGCCAGTGGCAACCGGCAACCCATGAAAAGTAAACAAACAGGCTCACTTTCGCCCATGCGCATTGGTGTGCCAAGCTCCCATGAAAATTTTACATTGAAATTGAGCCGTGTGGAAGTTGGCACAAACCAAACTTGCCAAAACCCGCACTTGAACACGAGCTCCAATGGCCATGCCGGAAGTCATGTTGAGCAGTACCGCGTGCGCCTCAGGGCTCTCACCTGCAGGCAGCAGGTAGAGGGACATGCCGTTCTCCAAGCGCGACACCCCTGCTCGGGACCTGAGCAAAGTGGCCAGGTGTCGCCTGTAGGCTCGATTACATGCGCATTTTGAAATGTCGACAAACAGTGAAATACATCAACACCTATCTTTCTGCAATTTTTAGTATAATTCAACAAACAAATAAGGGACCTTTAGCATGGTGAGCCCGTTATACCCCCGGGTGAGCTTGCTGTAAAATAGGCAGATCTATGCATGCAGCATGCTCGCATGAAGGTATGCATGATTGACTGTAGGCGTGAGTGTGCAATGTATGCCAGGCAAATGGGGCATTTGCCAACGCACGCTTGTGTCACAAGTGTTGACACACGGGCAGCACAAATGCAATTTGCCAAAGGCAGCAAACGAGGTTTTTGTGCAAGGAAAGTTGTAGGTTGGCACTTAGTACACGGTAGAAGCGCTCAACAGTACAAACAACGTCATAGTCGCCAGCTGCTTCCTCAAACCACCTCCACCAAAGAAAGTGCACAATGACAAACAACTGCCGAGCTACTTGGTCTTGAAGTACTTGATGTATTCGTCGAAAGATGCCTGGTCTGTGACTGCAATGGGGTCCAGCGATAGCACGGAGCCGCCCTGGATCCTCCGCGCCACCTGCGCGCAGGACGGTAATGTGCGAGGGTGCGTTTCTTAAACACAGTAATTAGATGTATATAATTCGCCCTAGTAAGCGGTCAGACCCTTTAGATCCTTTAGACTATAGAAAGGCTTCGCGCTCATTCTCCGAAGCGAGCCCCTACCTCAGCTGTCTAGTCCAAACCCTTGCTCAGCCCACGCGGCGACTTCCCCAGCTCCAGCCCCAGCCACCAGCCCGGGCCAACTTTCCGGGCGTGACGGGCCCAGGCAGGGCGGTTGGCCTCTATGCAGAATTGCCGTGTAAGTATAGCAGGTGCAAACTTACGGAGAAGCCAGCAGCTCAGCAAACACACACACACACACGGTGATCCTGTCGTTAAGACCATTGCGAGCTGCCCAAAGCCCAACTTCGGCTTTCACAAACTGGCAACTGCGGGCTACCTTAGGAAGCTTCTTCGAGCAGTGGCAGGGGCCAGAAACGTCGCACAAATGTGCGTCTCCGCGTGAGGCTCTTTTTAGAATCAAGTTCGATCAGAGCGCGCGCGGCCTCATCAAAGGGCACCCGGTGCTTGATGTCCAAGACGCGGGCGGAGTTGTTTGCAGCAGAACGCACGGCCACCTCGATGTCTGCCACTTTGCCTCAGTGGTCAGGGTCAAAAGGTCAGCGAAAAAACGCGTTGTGGCAAATGCGACCGTGATGGTCCATTCAGGATACCCCGGCCTCTGAATGAATGCAGGGCGTTTGTCGGGCTCAAATCCAACAACAAACTCATACAAACTCTTCAACTAAGCCCTGCAGGCTTCTGCCGGCATAGCCGCTCCTGTGTCATGCAATGTGTTGTCATGCATTGCCATGTACCGTCTGGTACATGATCTCTCCTGTGAACTGACCTCTCGCGACGCGGCCAAGGTGCCATGGTGAAGGCTGACACGTGCAGGCAGTTTCTTGGCGCCGTTCCGCGCCAAGGTAAGTACGCCTGTCAGGCTCGGGCTGCAGGACCCTGTACCATGCCAAGTTCCCCAGGCTTTGGGCAACGGAGTTTATGCCCTGCAGTGATCGTTACAAATCAAGACACCCGAGTCACCCTAGGCCAACAAAGTTTAGGGTAAAATCAATGTCAGCTCAGCCTCACTCTTGCGAATGGATGATTGATGCGCTTTGCAAGCATGTTGCAAAGGGAAATGTTTGCATTCACAGCTGTATCAAAAAGCCACATGTCCTCATTGAAGGATTATTAGGGCCTCGCATTGGCTCTGGACTTGCTTCGTTCATCCTGACAGCAGTTTTCTTGCCCCACACGCCTGTCCACAGCGTCGACTTCTCTGCCTGTCAAGGCTGAGGAGTGAAACAGCACATTCTCTCTGCTTTACACCGTGAAGGAGGCAGGATGTTTCACTGCGCTGCAGTTGTGGGGGCGATTGGTTCGCTGGCACTTCTTTGCTTCGCTAGCGTCATGTCCAAGGGCAGAACTGACACATTCCCTTCTGCAGAATGAAGCGCTCTGTCTGTTAAACATGTCGGAACAATGCTATACTTCAGCCTGACATCCAGAAAAGCCTTGCTCAAGCAAGGTGCTTCAATAGTCAAGCAAGGCCATACTGATCTAAGAAACCCAACACATTTGGCGTCTGTGGCCAGCAGCTTCTAGGCGGATGGCGCTGCGTCCAATGCGACGGGGGCCAAACCCTCTAGCGACATTCTCCCACCCTGCTTCGGCCTCCTCTGCCTTCTTTGCGCCTTAGCTGACGCTCAGTACTCAGCGCAAGCTGTTGTCTTCCTCAAGATGAAGAACCTACTGCTTTGGCCCACAGAACGGGGAATTTGCATTGCAAATTCTGCATTCTGCTGCGCATGGCGGAACGGGAGGAAAGCGTAAATCGCTTCCAGGACCACATGATAAGCATAAAAGAGTAGCCAAGCAAATGGGAAGCCAATTGTTCAGCCCCTTTCACAGCCGCATTCCACACCTTCGCAGTTCTCCTGTTTGATGAATGCCCCCGCGACTGCCATGTGACAATCTTATTGTTGACCCATGATGACAATGTCTCGACCTGCAAATGTCCCGCTTTGTGGGGGAGAAGAGCTACTCATCTCCCGCACCGACTATCCCTTCGGGCGTCAGACTCAGCATCCTTGCGCCACAATTTGCCAAGACACCCTCAAGAGTTTGCAGGATGGCCTTCGCGACAGCAGGGTCTCGAAGCATCTCCGCTTGCCGCTCCTGCCAAAGCAGCTCGCAAGGTTGATGTTCAACATGTCCGCTTCAATTGGTTTCCACTTGGCCAAGCGCTGCCCTTAGGCACGTCAACGTGCTGGGACCAAACAGAAATCCTCAAGCAGGCGCTAACATCTATGGTCCCTTTGCCCTGGTTCCAAAAGCAATTCTCGTTGCGATTTCTCTCTCCTTGCTGGCTTGCACGAACTCCACAGCAATCTGCTTGCCCAACGGCTTGCTGGACGCAGGCGTGATGTGTGCCTAGGATGTGCAAATCTCAACCCTCGAGCACTTAACATTCGCGAAGCAAGCATCAGGCTTACCAGGCTTCTTCGTTGACTCATGTCATGTCATCAAGCCCTTGCGGTGCAAACCAATGCACAGCCGGTCTGGGGATTAGTTGAGAGGATTCAAGTTCTTCTGAGCTGCGGTCGCCTTTGCCAGCGACACAGGCTGGCCCGGAGCCAGAGCTGGGCCAGGCGTCATGGTGCCCAAGGGGAGCTGCCCCATCCCCATAGTGGGCCGCAAGCCCATCTGACCCATGGGGCCCATGGGTTGGCCCATTGGTTGGCCCATGGGCATGCTCATGAGGGGCCCTGTCTGGCCCATGGGCCCCATGCAGCCCATGCCCATGAAAGGAAAGCCCATTCCAGTAGGTTGCTTTGCCACCCCACGGGCCGCCATCTGCGTGAGTAGCGCGCTCATGCCCCCGTTCTTGGCAGCGGTGGGGGGTGGCACTGGTGGAGGTGGCGGCAGGGGCAGCCGGGCACGCTTGGCATCAGGCCCCTCCTCCGTGCTCATGCTGCACTACCTCAGCGGTGGCACAAAAGTGAATTTGCTGTGGCGCTTGCCTCATGCTCCCTCACCCTCTCTGATCTTTGATTGCATGCTCATTTGCTCATGAGAAGCAGTGATATGAACGGCGAGGTCAGTAGCTAGCACGATTCAGCAATCACTGCTATCCATCACATCCAAGCTGCGCACACCCATGGCCCGACGTGAGGCGGGGCAACGTGATGATTGCCAAAAATGTGGCCGTAAGCTGGTTTTACCTGCTGCAACTAGTTTGGAAGCAAATCATGTGAACTAAGCAGCCAGCTGGTTGGTTTGTTTTACGGCCGGTTAAACGCCATATGTTCAGGATCGTTTGGCATGAAGCTAAGTCGTGCAGCAAAGCCTTTCCCACATCTGCACTAGTACTTTGTTGCAATTGCTTGATATGCGCTGCCTCTCCTATACATTTGATGCATTCTTCTGCGCGCGGGCTTCACCCCTGCTGGGCTTGCCGAAAACGCTCTGGGGTAGATGCCAACCTGTGCTGGAGCCATAAAGCAACGTCAGCCGGATGCCTGCTGGGTGACCGAGGATATGCAAGACCGGCAGCTGCTAATACAACGCCTTCTGCGCCAGGTCAGCACGCCATTCAAACCAAACGCTGCCCTTCAATTGTTCAATCTGTCCAATGAGGTAGAAACACACAGAATGTTCTGAAGGTTCACCATGAGAAGAAGGAAACGCTTAAGTACGCAAACAAAAAAATAAACTTGAAACGGCTCAAAAGCTGAAATGGGGTTCCGCTGGTTTTTGTTTCCATTCCTGAGGAATCCTGCTCACAAGGCACGACTTTGCAAGCATTCTGCAACTGCTGAGGATTGCTCTTGGGCACCCGGACGCAAGGCTGCAGAGAGGCGACGGGCCCAAGTTTTCTGCTTTTCCTTCCGCTCAAACGGCACATGCAGGCAAATTTGGTTGACTCGGGCGGGCTTTGTTGGGGATGGCTGCACTTTCATGTGCGACGATAGCACAAGAAGCAACAAAGGGAAATTAATCTAATCCTGATGCATGAGCAACGCCAATCCCAAGAAGGACCCCAATCCCAAAAGTTGGTTGATCCGTGCTTACAGCACTGCCCTCGAATGCGCGCGCACACATTCTGTAACGCAAAGCAAATGACACCCTACTAAAAAACAACATCCATGATCACTTCTGCTCCCAACACAGGTCCCATCCAGTCGGAAACGCGCAACTCATTGAACAATAGTCTGCGACCAATTGACAAGCGTGCAAACTGCCTGATGCGTTCAACCACCCCAGGCGCCTGCTTGAAAAGGCTTAAGCATTCAAACGTGTGTGTGCCTTTTGATATTTCTGGCGTGCTGGCTGTCAAAGTTTCGGGTTCCCTCGCCAACGTTGCTCTGCCGAATGCGGCCTTCTCCTCCTGGACGACCTCTACGGCATCAACTGCCTGGCACAGGCTCAACAAAGTAACAAAACATATTCCTCACCGTAGGATCCTTAACATTTGTTGATCAAGCGACCCCAGCATCGTCACTCAGCAAAAGCTGAGGAAATTCATTCCGACTCGCGTTGCTGGGGCCAAGGCTGAAACAACTACCAGAAGCTTCCAAAGTGGAACCGAATGGAACCGAGCTTCGCTCAATGCAAAGCTCCGACTGCGTCGAAGCCCGTGCCTCATCCAAGCGGCTCCTCACTCGGGTGAAGGCACCCGCCTGAGGTTGTGATTCGGACTATGGCAAAGCCCAGTGCTTGACAGCCATTGCATTTCCGCGGTTTGTAGGCCATGTGCGCATGTCTAGGGGTCTAGTACAAAAGTGGAACTGGACATTGTGCTCTCGGGTGCTGACTTACATCTTGCAAAAGGCAGCACCACATCCAGTTCTCCGCCCTCCCAACCTGATTGCCGTCCTTGCGCTTGCCATTGAGAAACCTGAGGCTGGGAAAGAAGGGGAATTGATGCATTGACTCTGGGGATGATTCTTAAATCTTTTGCATATCTACATGCGTTAGGACTTGCGGTGTCGTGCTTCGAACCACTTGAGGTCGTGAATCCTCAAACAAAACAAGGCTACCTGTATTCTTGCACCAAAGAGTTGGCTCACAGGCTAATATCTCAGGCTCGGACACCCCCAACGACCACGTGGCGATGAAGAAGCTCTGCCCTGAGCACTCCAAGGCTTCTACTTCCAATGGATTGGAAGGGCTTTCCGACTGAAGACTCCAGTCAAATGTGGCCCTCAAGCAACCTATGCATACCTATGCGCATGTCAATTGCATATTTGGCAAACTCAACGGATCGGCACCACTTCAGGACGCAACTCGCTTTCGGGATTCCCTGAATCGCTGCCAAGGCTCCCATCTGCCAGGACCTGCGGAAGTACAGCCTTGTGGCATGCGCGCTTCAATTGCAGCTCAATCAAGTGACAGCATGGGAGACCTGGCAATGGGTACCACTTGTGGTGAAGCTTGCTGCGCATCCCGAAATTTGCGTGAAAAAAACATTCCCTATAAAGAAAGCAGGAACTGCAGCATGCACCAAACATGTCGGCATCTTTAACCACTAGTCGAGGAACGCTGCCTTACTAGCAGTTACCAGCATCATTCCCGGCACCTTGGCATTGCAAGGGGCTTTTGCGTGGCACCCATGTTGCGGCATGATGGCACCCAAAAACCATCAGTCATTCCTTCGGTAGCCCCACATCTAGGCCTCGTGATTCACCGCAGCATTGAGTGATGTGTGTGTGTGTGTGACTGGCTGTATGAAAAATTGAAGCGAGCTGAACGCATTTTCCAGGCCTCTGTGCAGATTCAACACCGCTGCAACCTGATTTGCTGAATGAGTAAATTGGGGCTCGTGCCAGGCGTCGTCGTGCAGGATCTTCCCAACGAGTGCATGGGCCTCAATTCGCATCTGTCAAACAAAACACGTATAATATATATATATATATTAAAATATATTTATATTTATTTGTGCATTGAGCTCATGGGAATGGCACATGGAACGAAAGCTGCACGACCTGCACGTGTCCAATGCAATGACTGCTTGAAAGAAAGCGCACGGTGAGCTCTGTTTGCCGCTTGCATGCCTCAGGCAGAGGCCATTGCCAGGTTTGCCACCTGAGGCCAAGAGGTGATGAAGTTCAAGGGCAAGACCCACGTGCTTCTTCAAACATGCCAACAGTGTCTAGCCGGACATTGCCGCAAACCAGAACACTCATGGAGTGGCAAAAGGATCGATCTAAAAGATTGGGATGCCAGGATGCCTGCTTTTTGGTATTAGCTGGCATCCTTACTTGCAAGCGGCACAAGCACAGCTGAGTTGTCCAGGCAGAGATTGCCATTCGCATTTGACCCTTCAGGGATAATTGACGTCTGTGTGTTATGCTCAAAGCAGTGCAGTCTAGAAAAAGCTTTGCCGGAGGCACCAAGAACAATACATACAACCTATCTTGAGACGTTTGTTCAGCTTTGACAGGTGGCCCTGCTGACATGAAGGGAACGCAACTAAAAACACTCACAATTGCAACGAGTGGCAGCAGCAGCCGGCCCAATCGAAGCCGCAGCAGCAAACAGCCCCAAGCAGTCGGAGCACTTGCGGGTAGGACCAAACGTGAATAAAAGCATCACTCCCGAATTGCAAGCCAAGGAGACCAACACACAAAACCATGCCTCAGCAATCCCTCCTGCCTTCTGCTGGTGCGACTGCAGCTTCTTCTCATTGTCTGCGCCTTGAAGCTGGTAGGCAGCAGATCCGTGCACAAGTCTAATTAGGAAGGGGCTTCACGGCAAAGTCATGGGAAGAACCAGTGACAAAGCATCGCTGCAAAAACAATCAAAAGCAATGGTGGCTGCAAATACCTGGCCAGCCACAGAAAACTTCGCATTGAAATCGGGTGCGCAGCCGTCCGGCCTCGTGTGCCGAGCTCAGAGTCAAGAGCTGCGGCCAAGGCCGCGAGGCAGTCCTAGCAGAAGCCGACTAAGCCGAGGTCGGTGGTTGCTTTATGTTGCTCTGTGTATCTTTGCATTGGCTTGAAGCCGGAGAGGCACATGCCAAAACTGTCCTGAACCCTCTGGAAACCGAAGAAATCAGGTTTCCGGAAAGGGGAAGCACATGGAGGCACCCTTCTAATAGCTTGGGTTTAGGTACTGCTCTCCAGAGCATGGCTGGAAGTCTGGCTCCCTCGGTACTTGCATGATGGCAAATTTGGGAAAGCTCCGCAAGGACTGGTCTGACTCGCACTCTTTTGACGGGATGACTTGCCATCGCTGTGGGGGTTACCACCCCAGTTACCTAGATGATCGCCAACGTGCAGCAAACATGCGGCCACGCGCAGGTCAGCAACCAAGCCATGCATCTCAAGGCTCGGCACCCTCCCGAAGTCTGGCCTGCTTCGTGATGAGCCTCTCTGTAATGCCAGCATCCTGCGCGCCGGCGCAAAACAGAGATCGGGCGTGCACTTGTATCCCTTGCGATTGGGGCTGTTAATATTAAACGTTTGCCCCGTTACAACACAAACTGACTTCCCCGAAACAAATGCTTATACATTGCTATTCAACTATTCTTAGGAGGCCCTTGAATGAGTTCGAGATGTAGCACACGGTGCACTTTTCTTCCCTGGGTCAACAAAGCTCGCAAACTGCAATGTTTAAGTGATAAGTTTGAATGGTTCAGACTTCTCTGTTTTCTTTTTCTACCGGGTCGAGTAACTATGTATTTTTGCCGGCGCCTTCCTTTTCCAAACCCAAACAACTCCCCAAATGCAGCTTGCAAATGAACTTCTCTAATACATACCATAAGCGATAACTTAATTTCCTATCCAAACAAATTGTAAAAATGACAATGCATCAAGAATTAACACCAAATACCGCCAATATCGGATCAACACAATTATCCAGAGAGCTTCTTATTTACATTTTGAAAACCAAAAAGTATGGTCAGTTGGACAGTGAAAACAAATCATGCATCAGGATAAACATCAAATACTTAACGGATGTAATAATGCAAAATTGCTGGAACATGCCGGGGGCCTAATACGGCTCGAGTTCGGGTCACAAAGGGAAATCGCTAGATTCGTGTTGGTTTCGAATCGGCCTATTCCAAATTGAGTGCTTCGCGTTCCTGGATTCTTGTTGGAGTCAGGAAAAACAGGTTTTACTATTAGGGGGACCTTTAATAATTGGAAGAAGGGATTATGTACTTATATACACTTGCTACCAATTCTTGTTTGGGATCTTCGCGAATTGCAGTACCCCTAAAACTGCATATGAGACATGCAACATTCCAGGAGTTTAGAACACTTCTCTCAATAACTCTCTTGAGGCGGCCATCGCTCCCACATCCCGTGTGCTGGTCATTGCTGGTCTCTGGTCCCTGGCAGCGTAGAACATGCCGCTGATGCCTACGAAGATGCCGCGCAGGGCAGACCTAAGCTCAAAGTGTTCCAGAGTCTGACTGAGCGAATCCGCAGCCTTTTGGACAGCGAAAGGCAACCGAGAGAACCCACAAAGACTCGGGCGGCCTAGCTTTGCCTGAGCAAAAACTAAACCTAGCGGCGCGATTCGCCGACTTTGGACGGCGCCAGCAGGCGCAAAACGGATTCAAAAATGGTGGGGAGGCCGGCCTTATGCGCCTTTTGCATCCCTCGGTGTCGTACTAGCATCTATCTACTCAGAGGCCCAGGCCAGTCTCCCCTGCAAGACCCCGTCAAAAGCGAACATCGGACGGAGCGCTAGGAATTGGCTCGCGACATGCACCTTAAATGCCTGCCTCTTCAGCTAAACTGTTGCTCAAGCATCGAGAAAAAACAGCGCAAGCCGGAAGCCAGCCTCTGCATGACGGTAACCGCCCAGGGACATGACACACTTCAATTTTGTCCTCCTTAAACGCCAAACAAGCGAAATAAGAGTTGAGCAGTCTTCTGGCTTGGCGAGGTGCATGGAATCAATTACTGGGTTAAACATGCCAAGTCCCTACAGCAGTGCCAACCCTAGTGGCAGGTACAACGGATACCATGCCTGGAAGGCCGCGCTGATTCTGCCAGCCTCATTCATCGTTGTGGCGGTCGGCGCTGCTACTTGCTCCTCTGGCTCCGAAGTGACCACGCTGCCCACAGAAGAACTCTGCAGGTTGGTGAGGCTTCTGGCCTGCATGGCTGATTTGGCCTCGGTCATGTAGCCGGCCTTGTCGTAGGCCACCTTCTCCATGCTGTACTGAACCTGACTAGCAAAAAAAGCAAGCAGTGTGAAAGCTGACTGGCAACCTACAAATGAACCAGGCAGCTCATGAGAAACTTCGAGGGGCAACTCAGCAACCAAAAAAGGCTACCAAAGTAAGCGAACCGCCTCATCGCTAGACTTCTCATCAGAGTCCTCCACTGTCACCGTGTATTCCGCCTGCACCGTGCCGCTGCTGCCTTGCAAGCGTCGCCCGCCACCGGCCAAGGACAGGGCCACCTTGACCTGAGAGGGCTCCACACCAACCTTCTTGGCGAAGCCTTCCTGCGCTGGTTACGGCCGGACAGGACCCTGGAAACACATCGCTTTGCTGACCGCCTGAGGCCGGCCTTTGCAAGTACCTTGAATCTGGCTCCAAGCCATGCAGACCCCCCTCTTAGACTTGGTGAGCGAGGACAGGCGGGTAAAACATGGCACAATGCTTTAGGATCTTCAGGCCAGGGCAAAGAAAAGAAGCGAAGGAGCAAAGGATAGCAAAGGCAGTTGCAGCATACGAGATCTGTCCTCCAAGGCAGCTTTGAAGTCGGCATTGTCGATCATGCCGGCAGCATCTGCCACGCCCTCCAGAACCACAACGCTCTTCAAGAGTTCGGTCACCTTGTCAACGGCGGTTTCCAGAGTCTGCGTGAAAATGTTAAAGCCTTGGTCCATCCAACCCTGCAGCGTGATCGTGCCGTCACTTGTGACCAGCAGTTTCGGCAGCTGGAAGCTCGGCAGCTCCAGGTCCAAGTTTACCAGGTCGTCCATCTGCGGGAACTCGGGGGACGGCAGTTCCGGGATGTCGAAGCTGATGCCCAAATCCCAGTTGCCGACGCCGGCCGCCGAGATCACGGAGTTGAAGGCAGTGGACACCAAGTTGCTCACCGTGTCGGTGCTCAAACAGATGTTCAGGGCGTCGCTTCCCAGCGCAGTCTCCAGGCAGCTGCAAGCATCCGGCACCTTCACGCAAAGCTGCATTTGCAGCAGCTGGCTGGGCACCATGCAGTATGCAGACCGGGAGATGTAGTCCTTAGCACAAACCTCTGGAAGCGTCACGATGCCCACGTCATAGCCGCCGATGCACCCGAGCGAGCTGAGCACAGTATCCAGGCAGTACTCGGCATCCAGCCAGTCGGTGATGCCTTTCAGGGCATCCTTGAGGCGAGTGGCTGGCGTGCAAGCACCGTTCAGAGCCGTCAGCACCGACTCAGCCGTGGACTTCCAGGAGGACATTGAGTCCACCATACCGGATAAGGTGCCAGTAGCAGTGGCCAGTGGCTGGCTGGCAGTGGCAAGGCCACGCTTGAGATTGCTGATGCTGCCTGCAGCTCCTCCCAGGATGGTGTCCAGTTCGAAGGAGGAGGCACCGTCCATGGCCCCTTGGAGCTCTGACTTCTTGGACAAGGCCCACTTTAGGACAAAGTCCTTGACCTTCAGGCCGAGCTCAATGACCCGCTCGTCCAGGCGCATCTTATTCCAGAATCCCAGGGCGGTAGCCTCCAAGCTCGCGAGCTTTGTTGCTGCCGCATCCACCGACAAGGACAAGCTGCTCGTGAGGTAGCTGGTCAACGCAGACTTGAGCTCGGCGAGAGTTGTGGCCTTGACGGTGGTCACAGCGGTGTTAACTGTGGCGGCAATGGCGGTCTCCAGCGACTGCATCATGCTGTTGCCCACCGTGGCTTCAAAGACCGTCAGGAGACCCTTCTTCCAGTTAGGCGCTGTGAGCCCGGCGAGCGCCGCCAAACCAGGCGGCAGCGGCAGAGACTCGAAGAGCTCGTCCGCGCGCTGCTGTGCCCTTGCCACCGCTTCGTCGACCTTGACCTTCATCTGCGCCTGTAAGGCTGCAATGTCATCTTGCCCGGGCAGCTGCGGGATGCCGGACATTGACATCAGGATGCTGACCAGGTTTGCCTGGCTCACGCCAGTAGCAGTCTCCACCTCCGAGATGACGTCGCTCATCATCTGGGACCCGTGCTCCTGCATCTTGCCCTGCACAAATGTCTTGAATGACGTCATGGTGCTACTCATGGCAGCCTCCACCTTCTCTTTCACGCAGGCAATGGGATCAGCTGGCGGGGCGCACTTTGTCAGGAGCTCATTGGTAACCTCCTTGGCCATCGTGGTGACGGATGTCTTGATGAGACCCAGGACAGTCGGATAGATCTTGTCTGCCAAGGAGGACGCCTTGCTGGAAATGGAGCCCTGCAATGAGGAAAACACTGCAGCGACGTCCACGCCATTCAACTGCTGTTCCAAGGCAGCCTTCTTGGAATCTGAAAAGTCCAGCCATGCCAGGTATTGCTTTCTCATGCTCTCCATCATGCCCGTGACTGCCTCGTCTAGGGGTCTCAGCAAGAGGTTGTCCATCATGCCAGTGGCAGTCTCGCTGGAACTGAGACCCTGGCCCAGATTGGAGAACAAGCGAGCGATGTCACGCACCGACTTTTTCACCTCTGCTTCCAGCTTGGTGGTGGCATTGGCCACGAGATCCGAGACCGTCAGGAGAGTGGAAAGGGATGTGTCCATGGCCGACCGTGCTGCCGTGCTGACGGCGGCCACAAGCGGGGCAGTGTCAAAAGTCACAGTCTCGACATCCGCAAGCAAGGCAATCATGTCCAGCTGCGTCTGGAACTGTGTGACGCCCATCCATTCTGTGATGCTGGCAACCACGATTTTGGTCGCCTCTGCAGGGAATTCCGTGGTCAGCGTTTCGAAGAGACTCTGCAGCTTACCCTTGACGGTGTCCATGGCCGCACCGAAATTCAAGAGCTGAACAACCTGCTCGAGCAACTGCAGGCCCCTGTCCACGATCAAGTTAAAAGAGGTCAGCGCGCCCGAAAAACTGTCCACTGTGCCTTTCACCGCCGTCATCTGGGTGGCCACCTGGCTGGAAGCCTGCGCTACAGTTGGAATTGCGGAAGTGGCCGTTTCAAAAACCGACTTCCCTGCGGTCACCGCAGTCTTGGCGGTGTTCGCACCCGTCTGGAGCGCTGGAAAGGGGATGGCCGCAATGGTCTGCAGGCTGGTGGTCAATACCGGGAAGAGGGTCACCATGCATTTCCGGGCGTCGTTGATGTCGCCTGGGTAGTCAGCAATGGTCTTGGCAGTATCGAGGCTGCTCGTCAGGCTGCCGACACTGGTCTTCAGTGAGTTCACCTTGGTAGCCATTTGCAGCGCATTAATCGCTATCTCCAGTTGCAGCACGGTCGCTCTCTCTCTCTCTCTCTCTCTCTCTCTCTCTCTCTCTCTCTCTCTCTCTCTCTCTCTCTCTCTCTCGCTCTCGTTAAAATACGTTGATACTTTACTTCTAGTGCAAGTGTTGTTCAGTTATCACAAACACAAATGTAGTCAGCCAGCATGCACTCTTTTCCTGGTAGACTCAAGGCCTGCAGTCGGGTAGTGCACATCATGCATGCACAAGTGACAAGTAGTGCAACATGATATTTGACACGGCCCCTTGGTTAAAAGACCTTGTAGTGTCCTTTAACCATAGACCCAAAAGGTGGTATTGACAGTAGTGGCAAAAACGAATGCACATGTTGTTTGCCGATGCTACTGTAGCGAACAGGCATGTAGTCTCTTAAAAAAGATGACCGAAGGTAGGTATCTACAGCGCTGCTGTCTGTAGTTCAACTAACCTTCAAATGATCAGAAAAGTGAAATTGCTGTGCAAGAACCCTAGTTGGTTCTCAGTCGTCTCGTAGTACGATGACGTAGCACAGCACGTAGTTGCAGCTCCACCTGGAGATTAGGTGTGCTTAGTCCAGTGTTGGACTCGGTAGTTCTGGACTTGGCTTAGTCCAAGCCTGCATAGTGGTTGGTAGTGAGTGTTGAGGAAGTCTGGACCGCCACGAAGGCGGTTGTAGTCGCATTCCGGTGGTGCAAGTGCTTGGCCGGTGGTAGTGAGGTAGTTGTGGAGTAGTAGTTTGTGTTGCATGGAAAGATTTGTAGCCGTGAGGAGGGTGATGCCGTAGTAGGTGACACTTTTGTGTAGCATCGTGTTGATGGACTTGTAGTGGTGGTCTTGAAGTTGTTGTGGTCGAAGTAGTTGAGTAGTTCTGGTAGGTACAGGGGCATGTGATAGTTCCAAATGGAGTTGTTGGACAGGTTGAATGTAGTGGTGATCTGGTCCAAGTTGTAGGTGATTCGGTGTAGTCGTTGATGTAGCTGGCGTGTAGGTAGGTGGTGCTCATCTTTGATGGAAATCATGTGGCTCACGTAGTCGCGGCAGAAGTTGACGAGTTGTCCAGCGCTGACAAATCGTAGTAGAACTTCTGGTGGAATGTGTAGTTGGATGATGACCATCGAGTTGGTGTACTGGGTTGTGAGGTGTAGTGATGTAAGGTTGTAGTAGTAGAAGTTGACTGCCTCTGAAAGACGTAGGTGAAGAGGTAGTGAGTCGTAGTGTGGCATCCGTAGGTCTGAAGGTAGGTCGTGAACTGGTAGGTTGTAGTTGAGCTCGGGGATGGGTGTAGTTTGTTGTTGACTTAGTAGTTGGAACTCCTCGAGCGTCAAAGCCGCGTAGACCCTGAAGTAGTTCTGCTCCGGGTCGATCGCTGGAGTGTCGGGGATGTTGTTCTCAGTTGTAGTGAGGTGTGCCAAGATGTCGTCGGGTCTGTAGAAAGGTGCCGGTGTGGGTAGTTGGTGATTGAAGTTGTAGTTGAGGGAGTTGTAGGCCTCAGGTGGTGGAGTGGCCAAAGTAGCCATGCTGCCGGAGTCGGTAGTGCCCTGCCGATCCGGTGGTGTGAAAACACGGTCCGGTGTAGTACTGCCAGCCTGTTGTTCGACGGGCAGAGTAGTCTCTGGCGCTGATGTAGTAACCTCCATCGGCATGACATCCAGCGTAGTCGCATCCATGGGCGTAGTTCCAGCCATTGCTGGTAGTTCGGCCTATCGAGATGCAGTGAAACGGGGCAGACAGTAGTGAGCCAATGTTAGCTCACAAAAGCACATGCGGGCATGTAGTAAAACACAAAACAACATGTAGTGTTGACTCAAGCCGCCAAAAGCCGCCAAAAGTGCAAGTGCAAATTACTGGTGGTTACAATTACTATTACTTGTAGTCACTGTTACTGTTACTGTTACTTGAATGCAGGTAGTTACATATGGCCATATACAAACTGTTGTGATTGATGTGCAACCGTTGTGAAACAGTTGTTGTTCGTAGTGCTAAACACGTATGCCAATGCTCTGTATGAGCCTCTGTAGTGTTTCTTTGCTAATGTATTTTGTGAACAAGTCTGAGCTGTTGTGTAGCGTGTTGATTTTGAGGATTCTGATGATGTCGTGCTTGATGAGGTCTTGTGTGTAGAGAAATTTAAGGTCGATGTGTTTTGCTCGTTTGCTAGTGCCTTGTCGTGTAGCAATGCTCTTGCCTGCTGTGGAGTCTGTGTGGATGCGTAGATTTAGCTTGCTGCAAATGTTGGTTTCAAGTAGGAAGTTTCTGAGGTGTAGTCCCTCATTGACTCCTGTGCAAATGGCGTAGAGTTCAGACTCTGCTGAGCTGAGTGCTATTGTAGCTTGTGTTCTGCTGCCAAATGCAACTGTTGTTCCTAAAAAGATGATGTTGAAACCTGAAGTTGACTTCCTGGTAGTAGGGCATCCTGCCCAGTCGGCATCGACATGAACGTCGAGATCCAGGATGTTGTTAGTGTTTGCTCTGAGTGTTGTTGTTGGTTCTATGGTGAATTTGTAGTGCTTGGTGCCGTTCAAGTAACGTAGTAGATGTTTGACTCTCTTTTGTGAGAGTTCTGTAGGTGCTGTGAGGTCTCGTGCTAGTTCTTTTGTGGAGTATGCGATGTCTGGTCGTGTGTATGCTAACCATTGTAGTTTGCCAACAATCCTTCTGTACCTTTTGTGTTGTTCGTGGTCAAGTAGTGCTTCATCTTCTATTGTCGGTTTGTAGTGTGCAATTCCTGGAGTGTTCACTGGGTTGCAGTTGTTCATTCCAGACTCCTCGATCATGTTGTCGATGTAGGAGTCCTTTAGTCCCAGGTTGCAGTAGTTGCCAAAGTGGTCGATGTTTCTTCCAAGAAATTGTTGTGGTTTGCCAGGTTCGAGGTAGCCGATGTGCTTGAGTAGGACCTGCTTCTGGATGGCCTCGAAGGTGGAGTCGACAGTAGTCTTGTCACCAAGTACCAAGAGATCATCCACGTAGACCATGATGTAGCAGTCGCGAGTTGCATTGGTGTAGACGTTAGGTTCTGACTTTAGTCTTACAAAGCTGAGCTTTTGTAACACTTCAGCCAGGTAGTCCTGCCATGCTTTTGGTGAACTGCGTAGTCCACACATGGCTTTCTTTAGTCGCCAGATTTTGTCCTGTTGTGGACAAAGTTCTTTAGGTGGCCAAAGGTAGACGTCACGTTGTTTACCGTCGTGGTCTTTTGCGATGGGTGCGTGTAGAAATGCTGTAGAGACGTCGCCTAGTCGCGCTATCCAGTTTGGTCGTGACATTTGTAGTGCGAGAAGTGTCGGAGTGTCGTGAACATTGGTGTAGAGGCGTAGACGGAGTCTTCGTCCTCGATCTTCTCTGTGTAGCCTTTTGCGACGATTCGACTTCGCACTCCTGGTCCTTTCTTCCTGTGTACCCATCTAGTAGGTATCGCTTCTCTTATGACGTTGTCGTCGACGGTAGACGCATCTACTTCGTCGTAGACGTCATGTAGCTTCATTTGATTTGACTCGTGTTTCATTCCTTCCAGTAGTTGTGTTTCGTCGTAACCTTCGTTGTCGAAGATTATGGGTTGGTCTTCTGAGGTGTCGTCGTTTGTGTAGGGTGTGATGAATTTGCCGTTGGGAAGTGTCACTGCGTTAATTTTCTGTCGTAGTGGTGGTGGTTCTTTGGTTGCTTGCTCCGTTGATCTGATTGTAGTGTCCTTTGAGGTCTTCTGTGCTTTAGTGGGTTGCATTACTTCTTCCGGAGTTAAACGTCGTAGTGTTTGTCGAGGTGGTGCTGGTAGTGGTGGATGTTGTCGTCCGGTTGGTGAAGTAGCCATCGGACTATCCGGTAGTGGTCGTGAACTTGACGTCGATGTTGACGGAAGTCGTGGAGGTGGTGTGGTGCGTTGTTGTTTTGTTGCGGGTTCCGCAACGATGTCGTCCGTAGCGTTCGTTTGTTGTCCGAAATCTTGCGTGGACCTTCTTCTCTCTGACGGTGGTAGTTGCGCATCCAACAGTGTTGCGAACGATGGGTTGTAGGTGTTCCGTCGTGGTGCCCACGGTGTGCCGGAAACTTTGTTCAATAGTGCGAGGTCGTAATTGAAGTCCGGTTGTAGTCTCCGCACTGTTCGTACCTTTTGTACGCCTGATTCCGTTGCGACGTAGTTTTCTCCGGTTTCGGAAACTTTTCCGAGCCAGATGCATTTCTGCATCCGTAGGTCTGCTTTTGGGAGTTTCTTGTGTTGTGGTGGAAGGTAGAGTAGTGTCTCGCCAAATTCGCAGATTGCTCGCTCGTAGTTTCTTCCCCAGCGGCGTTCGAAGCTTGTGTAGCCGTCTGAGTGAATGACGTAGCGATTTACCGTCCATGCTGCGTGTCGTACTATCCAGGGTAGTAGACAGTGCTTTGTGGACATCGTCATGCTGTAGTTGCTTTCAACCTGAGCTTTGACGACGCGGATTTGTCCGAGAAGTGTTCTATGTAGTCGCTCAACGCTTCCTTGACTGTTGCTGCTGTAGGATGGTGAATGTCGTACAGTCATTGAGCCGACTTTAGATGCTGTTGCTTGTAGTAGTGCATTGAGTGTGTCTTCGTTGTCGCTTTGTAGTATGCCGTGTGTTCTTCCGCATTCAAAGATGAATGCTTGTAGGTTGTTGATCATGTAGTCCATCATTGATGGTTTGTGTAGTAACATCAACTGCCGTTAAGACTGGTATGGTCTTCGGATCTTGTTGTGATTTGATGTAGGCAAAATCCACTTGGATGATGGGTTGTCGTGATTGTTGTTTCTTGTAGTTGTCCTGGCGTCCTTTGCCTTGAACGCAAATTGGACACCAATTTCTGTATGGTAGGTGTGTCAAGTTGTGTTCTGCTATTTGTTGTGGAGTGGGCTGCTGAGGTTGTCGTAGTCCTATTGCGTAGTCCTATTGCTCTGTGTGCTTCATGATGCTCGTGTTGTTGTTCCTCATCGTGGTTCTCCTGGATGTACTCGTAGTCTTTCTTCACGGTGAACCTTGTTGTTCCTTTCCATTGAAATGGTAGTGCTGCGTTGCCCATGACTGTCCAGTCATGTTTGCGTTGGGAAACTTCTCCAAAGTTGTTGTGAGTGATTGTAGTTCTGTGCGGTTCGAGTGTGCTGATTGGTGGATGTCCTGGTCCATCTGTTGGAGTGAATAGAGTTGTTCTAAGTGATGTGTGGTGTCTTATCCAGTGTTCACCTTGTCTTTCCCAGTAGTCTTGGTTGTCCTCCTGTGCTGTGAGTGGTCTGTGGATTGTCTCCTTTGGTTGTGCGGTGTCAAGATTTGTAGAAGGTGCTGCTTTAGGTCTCCATATCTTTTGTGGTGCTCGTAGTTGGATCTTTGATCTGGTTGGTGGTGTGTCCATTAGCCGTTGTGGTTGTGAGCTCTGCCTTGTTGGTGTTGTCTTTGATGTTGCTCTGCGTGTAGGTGTTATCTTTCTTCTGAATCTGGTTTCTCCAGTCCAGTTGTCACCTTCTAGTCTTCGTTGTAGTTCTTGCTTGGAAAGTTGTGTTGGGTTCTCTTGTAGTTGTTCTTGCTCTTGCCCTTGTCTGTTGATGATGGTTAGTCGCCAATCATCTAGTTCTTCTTCAGGTATTGGGCAACCACTGTTGTGTGGTGTGAATAGTGCTTTGCGTGGTCGTTTGTGTACTCTGATGGCGTAGTCACCATCAAGTTTCCAGTAGTCAGTGTTTCCACCAAGGATCTGTCGTAGTCCTTGGTCTGTGTGCGTCAGTGGTGCGATTTGTTCTTGTTGTTGTGCTGCTCTCTCTGTAGGTTGAATCACAGCAATGGGTTTTCCACTGTCTGTAGTCATTGGATAGATGTCGAATCCTATAGGGATGTCGATCTTCTCTGCTCGCAGGTAGAAAAGCCCTGAGTGTCTGATGAGGTGTGCTTGTTGTTGTCCATGTGTGATGGTGCAGTGTCGTGGAGTGAAGTCAAGTCCATATCCTCTATCAAGTAGTCTTGATGCACTGAGGATTGGGTACTTCACATCACAAACGTAGTAGGGTATCATGATCCTGAAGTTGTCCTGCTTGTAGGGAACGTACTTGATGCCGTAGACAGGAATCTTCTTGTTGGTAACCGTGTAGAGTTGTGGAACCGATTCTCCACAAGGTCGTAGCGGTAGGTCTGGTGCGTAGTCCTTCGGGCAAACGTGTGTAGACGCTCCTGAGTCGATCAGCAGGTGGTGGTATGACTTGAAGTTGGAGTACATGATGTAGTGTGTGATAGTGTTCTCAATCTTCTTGTTCCTTTGTTGTTGTCTGGCTGCTGCTATATCAAAGTGTGGCTGTGTGTTGTCTTCTTGTAGGAATTGTTGAAAGCTCTTGCTGTGGTCGTTCCATGATGTTGTGTGTGTTGTTCTCTTGCCAAGTAGTGATTTGGATTTGTGCTTGTGTAGTCGTGAGTTTGCTTGTCTGATGTGTCCAATTGTGAGGTGTGACTCGTTGATGCCTCCAATGTAGTTTGCAGTGTCCTCATAGCTGTCGTCATTCCAATCCCAGCTGTTGTCATAGTCGTAGTCGTTCCAGTTCTCCTCCATGTAGTTCACCTCGTGTTGTCCTTCTTCTCCTTCGAAGTACCAGTCCCAAGTGTCGTTCACATCCTGAGGTAGTTCTTCATTGTTGTCGTGATGTGCTTGTTCTTGTTCTAGTGGATGTAGTTCTTCTCCTTCTCCTATGTGCCATACTGGCACTCTGCAGTCTTGTGCCCAGTGGCCTGGTTTGCCACATCGATGGCATGTTGTGTAATTGTTGTTTCCTTTTCCTTTTGATTTGGTGTAGTTTCCTTGGCCTTTGTAGCCTTTGCTTGATCCATGTCCTTTGGATCCTGAGTAGCCTTTTCCTTTGTTCTTGTTGTACCCTCCTTTGTTGTAGTTCCTTTGCTGCCTTTGTCGAATCCTTTGTAGTGGCCTTTGCTTCTGTACTTACCTTTTCCTTTGTTTCCTTTGTAGTGTCCTTTGCCTCCATATTTGCCTTTGCCTTTGTAGTTTCTTCCTTTTCTCCAAATGTTGTCCACGTCCATCGGTGCTGTCCCACCATTGTAGTTTGTGCCAACTGCTGAGCTCGCTCTTGAGAATGCAGAGATGGTTTTGTAGTAGTCCAGGATGACAACTCTGATCTCGTTGTAGTTCGTGATCTGTCCAGCACGTAGTTGGAGATGCTGTTGGAGTGCCCCTTTGGTCTTGTTGAGTAGTATTGCAATGTTTACTCCATCTGGTAGTGCTGCGCCGTTGTCTTTCTCGTAGCGGTTGATGTCGTGTTCCCACTGTAGGAATGGTTCTTCAAATTGTGCTTCATTGAATGTAGGTTCCAGTAGTTTGGTGAGGTAGCCAACACTGCGTGTTCCTACTGGTAGGCTGAACCTGTTGTGCAAAAGCCGTAGTGTTTCACATCCATTGGCATTGTAGCGGTTTTGTCTAACCACTGTGGCTGCTGCTCCTTGGCAGATGTTGATGAGGATGTAGTGTAGATCTCGTGAGAGGTCTACTGCTTTTGCTGCCTGTGTAGGGTCGCGTATGTGTGCTCTGATGTCTGCATCTTCAATTTGTCTTGTAGCTGCTTGTGCTAGTTGTAGCACCATGTCGAAGTCTCGGTCGATAGTCCGAGATATGCTTGTAGTTTGAACAGCCACTCTTCATACTGTGAGTAGTCACCAGTGAAGAACGGTGGTGGCAGTTTGTATTTGTGTAGCCTTTGGACGTCTTCCTGCTCCTGTGTTGTTCCCGTAGTTGTGGCTCCTATTGTCTCTTCTGCTGTGGGCCCGTTGTCTGCTCCTGTAGTTGGTTGTGCTGATGCTGCTGCTGGTTCTCCTGACATGTCGTAGTAGTTGGGCATGTGGTTGCCTGTGCAGTTGTAGTACTTACTGCTGTTACTGGAGCTCCCCTATGTTTAGGATCTCAGCTCCGCTACCACGTTAAAATACGTTGATACTTTACTTCTAGTGCAAGTGTTGTTCAGTTATCACAAACACAAATGTAGTCAGCCAGCATGCACTCTTTTCCTGGTAGACTCAAGGCCTGCAGTCGGGTAGTGTACATCATGCATGCACAAGTGACAAGTAGTGCAACATGATATTTGACAGCTCTCTCTCGAATTGACCGGCCCATCAAATATGCCCGCCTCCTTCTTCAAGTCACCCAGCAGCTCCGTGGTCTTGGCGCTGCATGGCACCAGCGCGGCGCTGTAGAGCACCGCAAGGAGGGAAGCGACTGCTGCCGTCCGCGAGCCCATCGCTACACCGCCTTGGTGGCTTTTTGAGACTGTTTTACCCAAATGGCTGCGCAACGGGCTCGCCACTGCGTCCCCAGCGTACTTAGCTTTGCTCCCTTCTGACGCCATGTTGGCTCAAGAAGTCCATGACAATTCTCGCACACCCTTGTGCCTGAATGCCGGGCACAACATGTCTCTTTTGCGGCTGCAACATGTCAAAGGCAAGCTCCGTCTTTGATGACAACGGAGCATAGGAAGGTCCGAGTTGAAGCAACGGGCATGGAGCTGCTCAAGGCTTCGTCGCACAAAGGCACCGGCGGCCACTCATGCAGCTCGTTGTCGCGGAGGCCTCTGCTTCGCATGTTCGGTTCTCAAAGCTGGCTGACCGCGTTGTCTCAGTCGTTGATGTTTAACGTTTCAACTTGGGAGGGACATGACTCGCACGAATTCTGCAATAGTTGAAACCTGGGTGCAAGCATTTCATGTCAAGAACCGCATCGCGCCCTTTCTCTGGCTCAGCTCCGTGCCAGCAAAAAGACGTTCTGACAAAGACAAATAACATCAAACACCCGGAAGCAGCACCACAACCATGTCAGTATCCCTCAGGCAGCTCAGCTGGGCACTGTAGTGCTGCGCCTCGCGGCGAACTTCACTTTTCAGTTTGAAGTGATCGGTTCATGTTGGATTATTTTGAAAAGGTGCCAAACTGACGAGTTTCAATGTGCCAAACAACCTACCTACGAGGTAAACCCAACGCAATGCGAATGTTTTCCCAGTTTAAGCAAATGCTACACAAAAGAGGTCCGCCATTGTGAGACACTCCCACCTGCCTTCAGCTGGGGAGTTCTCAATGATGGACAGCAACAGGTTCTCCCACCTTGGAAGCGTGGCGCACATCTGCCATGCTTGCGCACGAATCCACCCGCATTCCTGCACAAGGCAACTGAGCTTCGCAAGCATCCCTCAGCAAGGACTGTCGTTGGTGCGCGCAATCTGCATTTACAGTACTTTTGGACTGCTAACATGCCCCCCCCAAACTCAGCGTGGCATCTTCCCTCCCCCACACAACCCGGAGGACTGGCTACCTGGGGGGCCAAGCTTCGGACGGACAGTGCTCCCAACTGCTCGACACTTGAGCGAGGTTGGCTTGGCTTGGGACCCAGAAGCATTCCAAACCGTTGGCATGATGGTTAGGAGTGCCCTCGCAGGAATGTCCCTGGGCGCATAGCCGCAGCAACATCTCCTTGGTCACATGCGCCTGGCCCAGGCAAAACTCTTGAAGTCAACGCTTTGTACATGGCCTGGGATGCATTAGCCAACTTGCTTGAGGCGTACGACGCAGCCCAGAAAAGAAATGAGGCATCCACATCGCCATTTTCCAATAGAGAAGTAATCGAGATGGTTGACAGCAGCTTTGCAACATCCCCAAAGAACCACAAACAGCTTCCCAATACATTCCAGCATTTTCCCGCTCCAGCTGCCTTGATCAAGCTACTAAGCCACTGTCTGCCTGGCAAATTCACCCAAGAGGCCCGGCAGCCCGCCTCTGGCTTGAAGAGCCCCAACAGCACCGGGGTGCGGGTGCCGACCTCCAACGACTTGAGCTGAAAGCAAAGGAGCATCTTTGAGTGGGTTCTTGCGGCGCAGGGGTCCTCAAGCGCAGCTTAAAGCAATAATCTACGCACTCCTGTGTAGTGTTCAGCATCCTTTTCTAGTTTTGCGCAATCTGCAGGGTCTACTTAGCATGCTGGCGTACACTCGAGGAAGCAATTAAACACCCCACTATGCACCGGTATTGTGAGTGCCCTGTCATTAAGCGCACCTGCTGCGTGCGTGGGAAAGCTAAACTCACCCCAACGCCCAGATCATACCAATGCCTGCCTTCGCTGAGTGCAGCAACACCTGGCAGCACACTGGAACAGCTATCTTGCCAGTGCACACCTCACATCACTGGTGCGGGGGTTTGCCACACTTTGCCTGCAAGCCAAAGGCCACCGCATCTCACGTTCCGGAACTCGCAAGCTTACAACCATCTCCTAGGCTGCTGCATGGCCTGTCACCTTTTTGACACCGATGTCTAGTCACCCACTGACCCAAGTGACCGCTGTAGCTGGCAGCAGGCCTTAGCTTTTCCTAGTCCTGCGGCAGGATTGAAATAAGACGGGTTCAACAGTTGATCGGAGCTCTTCTATTGGATCACAGCACAAAACTCTGCCTCCCCCTCTTTCTCCGGATCGGGCTCTGCCACGGTCAACTGCACAGAGCCTCAAGCTGCGAGGCAGGCCAACCATCACGTGGGGGAGCTGCTTCAGGTTCCATCAAACAGAAATTGTTCCGCCTTGGCAAACTTCATTGCTGCAAGAACCCATGCTTGCGCGGTCATCAAGCTCTTGAAGTTCTTGTCGCTTCCACATAGGCAGGATGGCATTCGTGCCAGTTGTTCAAAGCCAGTGTGGCATGTTATTCAGTTTCGATTGCTTATTCAAGGCGGGTGTTGATATGAGACGCCACACCATTTGTTTGATGCTAGTGCAGACTAGTATTCCCCTATACTCCCCTCAATCCAGCTGAGCAAACAGTGAACAGCGTTAAGCTTTTCTGGCAACTTTGGGAAGGGCAAGAGCTGTGAAGCAAGCCCAAACTTTGGTGGCTGCACCTCACACTGTCACACTCAAACATGGCAAAGAAATTTCGAACAGCCGGGATATGTTTCTTGTTGCTTCTCTTGCATGCCTGATCTGTGGGTCGCACGAGGCCCTCCAGCAAGGGTTCCGACCTCAGGAAGTCAATGCACCGTTTGGGCAGAACAGCGGGGTCCATTTACCCATGAAACGAAGCCAAACGAACCGACTTGCGTGTCAAGGCGTGTGTGAGTACATCATCCCTGTCAGTGTTATTTGTGCATGATGCTGAGAATGGCAAGCGACTCTCAAAACAAGTGAAGAACATGGCGACATACACACACACACACACCCAAACAGTTATCCATCTACTCACCTATACATATTTATATATGTATAATGATACTTTCACTGGGGCATCCTATCGTCTTGATTGTTCAGACCCAATACTCATCCAATGCATGCCAGTTCCCATCTACATGGAGTTGCTGAGACCCGCTGCGAACAGCCGGTGGCGGATCACTGCCTGCAGGAGGTCCTGCGTTGTGTGCTGCTTTGTGGGATTAAGGTTAGCGTGTAGAACTGAACATCCGGAACCAAATTGTAGCCCTCTTAAACGGGGGCAAAGGTGCATGTTGGAAGTGCCAGGTTGCAGCATCGATTCCAGAGGGGGCATGTCGGTGATGCGCCTGCATGCCCTTCGCCAACTGTTGACATCTTGCATGTGATGACTGCGTTTGCAAAAACAACAGCAGAAAGCAACTCTTTCGCAATAATTTCGCATCAGCCAGCAATCAAACTATAAGCCCATAGCCCCAATACGTAATCCCTTTCAACAAATTCGGCCGATTAATACGTATTATCTTCCCAAACCGCCAGGTCTCCAATACTACATTTAGACTGGGCCAAATCAAAACCCACTAAACTGTCGGATGACTCGCCCAGGCCGGACCCAGCCTTACCAGGGGATATTTAGTCCACCAACATCTGTCCCTGCACTAATCTGCGCTGGCCGAAACCAAACAAAAACAAAGCGTCTTGCAACGGTTCTACTACAACCGATTTGAAAAGCTCAACTTTAGGCCCGCTTCAAGGGATAAGTACATGTGTACGTCTGGGGGGAGCCCATCTGACACAAATTACCCTATCAATAAATATCGTCTGTCGTCCGTGTTTGCTCTGAGACTGTATCCTCAAATAAAGGCATGTATTGTGCACTGGCCTGCAGGCATTCACAATCCAGGGTGCAACAAGTGTGTGAAAGTGGCGGTACCTTTCTTTCACAATTGTGTTCCATGGCAAAAGTGCCTGCCAGCTTCAAACCGACTTGGCTGAAAACCACTTGCCACCTTGGTTGGAGCTTCCCGGTCTCGTCTACCACACCCTCAAAGGAATTTCTTGCGGCCCCTCGCGCGGTCTTAAGCAAGTTATAGCCCATTGAGGGCTCCTAAAATCGAGTCACCAAAACTCCAGGCCATGGATCTGAAGTCACATCAGCGTATTCCATGTCCAGCTTGCTTCAAAGCACATGCCGCTCGGCTCACAAGAGCTCCACCTCGAAGACTAGGTCTGCTCTGGGCGGAATCACCGGAGGACAACCGCTTGCACCATAGCCCAGCTTGGATGGCACCAGCAGGCGTCGTTGTTCACCTTTCAGCATGCCCTTGACGCCCTCATCCCAGCCTTTGATGACCTCCAAGGGATTTGGACATTTATCAGAAATGCCATGTGAGTGCGTGTATGTGAATTTATATACATTGACATGTGCGTACATGTCAGTGCGGAATCAGTGTGTTCGACATATTTGGCTATGCATCGTTGCGCAATTAGAACTGATGCAGGGGCAAAACAAAATGAACGAGATCGCCATGCGAAAACACATGTCTCGCAGTGCCTCACCCATACCCAAGCGGAAGGCGATGACCCCCTTGTCGAATCTGGAGCCATTGGAGCCAAGTCTGCCCTCATAGCGTACCTTCACCGTCTTGCCCTGAGCGCGCGCCGGTAACAGAAACATCATGGAGGAATCTTGTGGGGGACCCCATTGATTTTTGTGAGGCAGAAACGGTACCAGAGTGATCCAGCAAGGCCAACAAGCTTGTGAAATCCTGAGAAGGAATAACGTGAGTGCCGGACTATGCAGGTGAAGGGGATCTCTTCAATGAGGCTAGGCCCTTGCAGAGGCACAGCAGCTAGATCGGTGGAGCAAAGTGCTGCCTACTACTACTTTTATCACAGCAGCCGATGACGTGTCAATATGTTTGACGCGGAATGAATGCTGCCACAGCGACAAAACATAAAACTATTCCCCTCCTCAACACAAGCAAGCCCGCACACGTTCTCGTCCCCATGCATCCACACGCATGTGTACGTGCGCGCATACAACCTACTCGAAGCACAACACACCCTCAGACTTGAGGCTATGTGTTAGTTGTTATTTCCTTTTTTTGCGAGGTCTCACCTCTAAGGATCCCTGCCTGAAGCGCTTGTGGGCCATTGCCGCGCTTAAGCACCTCGTATCTCAGACCCGATGGCAAGGTCCGCTGAGCCACGCTCTTCTCCTCTTTGGCGCCCTTTGCAGCAGATTTTGGCGCTGACTTTGGCTTGGCCTCCTCGCTTTTGGTCGCCGGATCCGCCTTTGGAGATGCCTTGGAAGCTGTTTGTTGCGCTGCCTTGGGAGCTTCTTTTGAAGCTGCCTTGGGGCCTTCCTTTGGGGCTGCTTTGGGAGCTTGCTCAGTTGCTGCTACCTCAGATTGATCCCACAGGCTGAAGCAATAGCCTAAATATTTTGGTCTTCCACAACGAGAAACATATCTGCTGCAACAACTTCAGCTTACCTCCTGATTGTGCGACACCAAAGGGTTGCCACTATTGCAAGGTTGCTGACTCCAGGCGCGCTTTCTTCTGCGGCGGCTCAAAGGGCGAGAGCTGATCTGCCACAACCCCACTGAGGAGTAGGTCCTCACCCTCGCAGCTGAACATTGCCTCCTGAGCTGCGCAAAATGTACGGTACCTTTTCTCGCCGCAGTTTGGCCCCTATCATCTTTCCACCCCTCTCGACCACGAAGCCGTGACAAGACTTTGCCTGCGCGATGGAGCGAATCCCATCCCTAAAAAGGCGCATTTTTTTCGCGGGGGGGGGGGGGGGGGGGCGTGCCACAAAGCAAACATTTGGCCTGAAACTCCAGTCGGCCTTTTTGCCGCGCACCTGTGCCGTAAGAATGCCTTTCGTGACTTTGGGGTGTCTCCAACGCTGTTGGAGGGCATGAGAAGCGAGGGAACAAGCAAGTTGCACGCAAACACCAGCAGGAGCATTCCAGTGACCAGGGCACCCGGCATATGAGATTAGAGTGGCACATGTTAGAGAAGTGGATGGCAGAAGGCGTTCACGACAAGTCCATCCAAAGCGCCTGGGAGAACCGATAAACAAACACACGGTTTGCTTAGCACCAAACCTCCGGCGAATTGCCCTCCTGCTGCGCCGCGAGGGAGAAGCGCAGTTGGCAGTGGGGCCGCGCCGCATCTGCGGCGGCCAGGGCAAAGCGCTGGCCATCCACCAAGACGTAGAGCCGCGCGGCGGTGCCGCTTTGGAGGAGGCAGCAGCCTTGGAGCTCCTGAGATGCATCGCAATGCTTGGCCCTGCAAATGAGTTGGTCGGCTTTAGAACCGTTGAATGCCTGCCTGTCCAGTGGTTGCTCGCCCCATCCGATCCTAAGAATTTCCTCGTCTGAAACGTCAACTTCACTTGCAACAATTGCAGCTATGAGGAGCCAAGGAAGTGTTGCCGAATCCTCAGACCTTCGTCACAGGTTGCGCATGTCCCTGCATGTGCGCCCGAATGGGGAGGATCTGAGCGTGGGGGCTGGCCGCCCAGAACCAGAACCAAACTTAGCTGACCACCCAGCTTCAGAACATGCTGCTCAGGCGAAGCCAAGTTAGCTGGCTGGTGTTCAATGCGGTTCTGACGTCGCTTTGAGCCTTTCCTTCCGTAGAGCCGCTAACGAGCAAAGCTTCTAGAGCGCAGGACGGCAAACGTCCATTTCCAGCATGGATGAGTCTAGGAAACTACTCAGTGATATCCACAAGTGAATCTTGAAAGACCACTTCTACTCCAAATCCCTGAGCAACCTGACCAAAAATGATGCCACAAATGTGAATCTCAGGAGATGTTTGTTGGCATCCCAGCAGAAAAATCAGCAAACAACAAATGCTCGCCAAAATGGGCCCAAGATTCCAGCTGCAGTGCCGCAGATTTATCTCCGAAGCATACCGGCTGCTTGGCGGTCACTCGCCGCTTCCATATCTCGTACGGCATGGCTGACGTCTCCGGTGGGCTGCCGTCTAGACGCCCAGAAAAGCCTCCAAATTCCTGGAGAGGTCCTGGAGAAATTAAGCCACAAAAACCGCGCAAAGCAACAGTTGGGGAACGTGTTCATTTCTGTCTGGAACTCAATCCGGCTTCCGAGCTTTCGAAACAACATCACCAAGCTGCGCGAGGCGCTGACAATCCCATTTGAGCCAGGCTTTGGGCGAAGCTTCAATTGTGGCCTGTCCAAGGGAAAGGACTCACGGGGCATTCTAAATTGTCTGGTTGACTCCTGTACCGTGTCAGTAAGCGAGCATAGTTCACACCTAGAATTGACACTTCTCAGCACTCAGTTGCTTGAATTATTGGCTTAATTGGCGCAGTAGTCATGCTGATTCATTTGCAGGAATTACAGGATCAATGCAAAAGGCACCCCGTTGACGTCAGGTGATGAACCGCCCTGGAAAATAATGAGACCGTTCAAAGATCCCCAAAACGGCCTGACCTGGAGCAGGGAACATATACGCATGTACAACTTAGCCATGGGACACCTAGCCTAAAGCATCAGCAACCGGATGCGCTCACGGCCATGCGCACCTCGCTCTCCAGCATGCAATTCAGCATCTCGCTCACCGTGATGGTGCCTGACCTGTGAGACGGCAGGTGTTGTTTCCCTGAGCTACTGGAAGATGCCAAACGTGACGTGCCAGTCGAGTGAAGCACAAAGTGTGCGTGTCGACTGCGCGCCGTTTTGCGGAGCAAAGCCAGTGATTGCTCAGGAAGCTCCCGGAATGCTCCCGGAATGAAGCGAAACCAGACTTTGGCATTTCGTGTCATGACATTACTGAGGCGAATCAAAGGCGTGGCAGGGATGCCACGGACTCTTGGCTCAAGTCTAAAGTTCTCTTTCAGATCTCACTCTGAGAAAGCGGCCCGTCTTCGTCCATGACACGGAACCTGAGATGAGCTACTTGGCACTGCCCGCTAAAAACAAGTTGTTTGGAAGGGCACCGACTTTGCCGATCCGTTTCTATCTCTCTCTCTCTCTCTCTCAGGCTGGGCTTCTCCCCTCAAACCTGAGAAGCACGCAAGCCCAACCAAAGAAACAGCCTCTCCCTTGATTTCTCATTGCACTCGATGCCTGGAAGCTTGGAACCACACAACATGTCACAATATATGTCCAGAGCCATCAAGCAGGATGAATTTCGAATTTCAGTAAGTCAGTAAGTTCAAGCATTTGATGATCCGTTCAAGTTCTTCCAAATCTAACACATGGCCCCCTTCAAACACGTTGCGACCTGAACAGCCGAGCAGCCACTCCAGCGCTTCCCAGGCGCGAAGCTCAAAGGTGGGCTGCCGCGACAAAGGCATGAACCTTCCGACTGGAAGGGCCAAGCACCGAGTTCTTCGACCGCAGAGGAATTCCGAACAGAAAAAAAGGCGGTGGAATGCCAGGAACCTATAGAGAAAAACAAAAAACAAATGATGGAAGCTGGTGAACTTTGATGCGATCCTTTCCCGAAGCTGGCTGCAAAAGGCACGTCGGCTTACGCGATGCCAATCCTAGTGGTACGGCCATCAAGTATTTAAGTTGCAACGCATGCAGGCATGTGAGTGAAGCATGCCACCAGCGCATGCGCTTCTGGCCTTTCGATAAACTCGTCCTGCTCCATCTGGCCTGGCCGCACATACATCGACCATGCCTTGACTCGTCCTCGCTGCAGCGGTTGGACCTCATTCCCTTACTCTCATGCCTTATCTCTTTGCCTTCTATTTCCTATCTTCGTCCGGGATTTTGTGGCAGGCGAAGTGACGAAGGAAAAGAGACTGCGAGGCAAGGGCTTGACATGCAACGGCCTAGCCTTGCATCATCTACTACTTTACACCTGCACGCCGTCCCACCATGATTCAATCACTAACATCATACTGGAGCACTGTGTCAACAATTTCCAGCATGGCCATCACCAAGCAGATTGCAAGAAACTGCTTGTGCAGAAATCAGATCGGCCCTCCGCTGAGACATGCTCGAGCCCCAGCCAGCCAAGAACCTTGTGATGGCTGGCAAAAGCCATCTCAACACGCGTCCCCGCAATGAATCTCATGGATCTATCATATCTGACCGGTGGAAGGGACCCGGTGAGGCACATTACTTGTGCAGTGAAAGTAGCGATCCTGGAACAACTGCATGGAAAGACAAGGCCTAAACGCCGGACAGCCTTTGGCAAGTCATACCCAACTAGCTTCTCCACACCACAAAGGCATTGAACGTTTCAACCCGAAACATTTAGAGATGCTCAGCCGAGCTAATTTAAGTTGCCAACAGTCTGCACAGCTTGGACGTAGCAAGTCTGCCCTCAACAGCCAGTCAAGAAAGGAAGAACAACTCTGACTTGAAGGCTTATGGCCAACGGCAAAACATGCCAGCAACTGCCCAGTGCCCACGCCCCTGGCCTATGCTTTTGCGTCCACTCAGCAATGCCCAACTCGTCACTTGCTGGCCTTGCGCACCCAAAGTCGCTCAAAAGAAAGCAGGCAAGTTCACCTCGCCACTTTTCGGGATCTTGCTTGGTCTCATCTTGACATAAACCTGTGGCGGGTGGGTTGCACCATTCCCCTTAGTCCTTGCTTCTCGTTCGCTCCCTCGCTTGCTCTTCTTGTTGTTTGCTCGTGGAGCAGCAAGGCGCTTCGTTGTCCGTTTTCTGGTTAGACCAAACAGGGCCGCCACACAAACCGACTATCATTTGGCCTGTCTGACGCCTGTGCAAGCTCCTGATCTTCAAAAACATTTCTTGAAGGTAGGCAAAACACTTTGGCAAACTTGATATGTGTTTCTTAAGCTTGCCCCTGGCCATGCCTAGCTGCAAATCCATTTTATCTCATGCAAAAACCATGCTCATGCATGAGAACCATGCACAAACGCCTCACACTTGGCATACGCAACACTCATGCATGCTGTTCTACAGAGCCAGCACCTCGAATCTGCGTAGAGTAGTTCGAAGAACTTTAGCTGGAGGATTTCATTAAAATTTGAAAGCCTGCGGCCCTTTGACGCTGTCGTGCTTGAGTGACTTAAGCCTGACTTGCTTTCAAGCAGCTGTTCCACTGCAAGTGCCCGAAGAAATACGGAAGTGCACATATTGCCTTGCCAGACTTCAAGCAGCCCAAATTGCTGTGACGCTCACCCATCTCTCTGCGTCCGGGCGCATGTAAGCTTCCAGCTTTGGCTCCTCAGGCTGAAGCCGTGTGACGAGTTGAAATCAAACCGCTGGATCCGGCCGCCGAGTTGGGACCAGTCCTTGGCAAAGGTGTCCGCCAGCTTCAAGTCCTCGTGGAGCGCTTCGCGAACCGGACAGCCAAAGTATGGCAAGGGCAAGGGAAATGTAGCACATGCTAGCGCATTTGAAAATGAACATAAGCAGTCGCTCTGGAAAGCGTTTTCAAAGCGTCTTGGTGCCTTGAAGTTTAAATCAACCAAATGGCAGGGGCAGACCTCAGTTCGCTTGACTCGGCCTAACCACCGCCCGGGACCTGCCTCCCAACGTTTGGACTGTTTTGGCGCCCCGACGGTGTGCTCCATGAGCCATCCAATGGCGATGCGCTCATAGAATGCCTGCCAGAGAAGCAAAATCCTTCCAGTCAGCCCTTCGATGGGATGGACCTTGCAGCGGTCACCATTACTTCTGTGGGATGCACCTAGCGAGCTAAGCTATCACACAAAAACATCGGCTAGCTTGAGTGGCCATCTGCGCAGGTGTGGGCCCATTCACTGGCTCCCCCTCCCCCCTAACAGGGCCCTGTCTCGCCAAATTCCGAACGCCCTGATCCCTCAAACCCATATTGAAAGAAAGGCTTTGAGAGATCGCTGTGCTACAAAAAGTTCTAGTGAGCATACTTGGAAGCACGCATCTTTGACAGACTCTGACAGAAGTCTGTGTGTAGTGCTGCTTTGCTACCCTGACTCAGTGTAGCTATTCTACATCAAAAGGCTTCCGGTAGGAAGTTCTGTCTTTCCGGCTCGGCCTCATCCTCTTTGCGCAGAAGGAAGTAATAGATCTCCCACCTTGTGGCGTTGGCACGTGAACTGCGCAATTTCCAAACCCCAGTGATGAGCTCTGAGGCTCTAGAGTGACAAGCATGGTCCCGCGAGTGGGGCTTTTGGGTCCAGAAGCTTTCCACTACACACACACATACCACCCACAGGAGAATGGATGCCTAACTGCTTCCGGCACGGTCTCACTACTTCAGTGCCATGTACCTGCATCTAGATCTAAAAGTATCTGTGTCTGCATATGTATATATATATATACATATATATATATACATATATATATATATATATTGTATAGGTAGAATGTGTGGGAGTGTCTGCATGTGCAAGTATATAACTTTATAACTTTATACATGCACATTCCCTCTGTGGCAGGCACTGTTTGGAGGCGGCGCCACACAAGTCATCTTCCTTGGGGCGCATAGCCAGGCAGGCTGGCTGCGAAAACAACGTTCCCGATTTCCTAAATTGGAAGGGGGGGAGGGGTGGGACAATTCTCAAATCCATGCCCTTTTGGCTTCATGCGAGAAACATGGTGATGCAGCACGCAAAGAAACATTTCCGATTTCCGTCTAATTCTGGGATGTAGACCCTAAGCCGGAAGGGGGAACGTCGGTGTGGGGGACAATCCAAGGGCAAGGCGTGATGTCTAAACAATTTGGAATTCGTTCGGAGGATATCCAACACGCACCGCCTGCTCGGATACCATTTACCGGCCATTTGAGGTTGCCCCCTCTCAAAACTCCAATCAACAATCAAATAAAGGAACTACTTCAATCCTTTGCGCGCACGCGCACACTGTGCCTTGGGAGTGCCACATTCATCTGCAGGCATACGTGCATTCGTGTGGATGTTGCAGTTTCGGCAGTTTTGGACTAAAACCATGCGGTGCTGGAGAATGCCCACAACACTCCCAAGCAGGAGAAAGGCCTAGGGCTGCCAACAGAGCGGCTTGCCCTGCAGATTAATGCGAACCTGCAAGTGGACGAAAGACCTTCGTGTCCAAACTCAGAGCAAACTCATGCACCAGTACCTCGTCCGACAGTACTGGTGCATGCATGATGTGCGCAAGGATGCCCGCAAGGTCATTTCTCATCTGCGGACGCCATGCACACCCCCGTGTGATCCTGAATTCGCATAATTACCAATAACTCCACCCCTCTCCTTCATATTCGGTGCAAGTCAGAGTCGTTTTCAGGATCGGTCTTAGGCGGCGCCCCATTCTTTGGGAGCTGATGCTTCCTTTGGCATCTCCCGCCGTGACTTTGCCGTCTGCGCCCCAGTGGTGAACTCGCGGTGATGGCAGCCTGGTGCAACTTTGATTGGGCAGAAGCTTGACCAGAAGATGTGTGCTGGCCAGAAGTTTAGACAAAGCAACGTACAAACACACCATATATATATATATATATGTAATATGTCACTTAAACATATCATACACACACGTGCGCATGCACAACACACACTCCCTCACTTTTTCTCCCTATCATACATGCAAATAGGTCCTCTCACAAACGTGTGCATCATGCGAACACACACACACACACATGCGCGTCAAGAGCCGGTCGTGATTTACAGTTGCGGGTGTCATACGTGACCTTGGCTATCACCGTTTGTTGTTGGGAAGTGACTTGAGAGGCTATCTTCAAAATGTCCCACCCAAAGTGCCAAGAAAAGAACGCGAGATACGTCTCATCTTGGCTTGCGAGGCTAAGTCCGTCTTTTGAAGCCTTGGCCGCTCCGTCAAGGAAGGGGACCCGGCACCTGAGAACCAGGTAGGACACTTTTTAATTCACCTTCCACGCTTCAGGCACTATGCCGGTGGGTCAAAACCCTGTGTTTTTGGTGAACATCCAAATAGGCGGCAAATGGATTTTCATCCACAAAACGGGATCGCCATAGGGTATGCCCCTTGGCCATATCCCTAAAATCCGAGAGACTTTGAAACTGAAGCCATTCCCAGCCGCCTGGCCGAGGTACCCTGCCAATCTGCCAAGGCCTGAGACTCGCAGGCTAGGCGACCAGCCGCGGGGTGCGCGCGCTTCGCACCTTCTCCTCTTGCGGGTCCTCGTTGCTCCAAAAGCAAACTCCTTCCGCCCTCAAATCAATCAATCCTGCCAAAACAAGTCCGTACAAAATGCAAATGCAGCAGTCGAGACATGGATCATCCTTCTAGGGTTGCCTTCCCCATTCTTTCCAGGGCTCCTTCTTTTCAGGAAACCATCAGGGGAAACAGCTGGTTTTTGCAATGGTTTCACAGGCTCCTCTCGACGTAGTCTGCTGGACATCGAGGTGATGCGCTCCGGCCGCTCCTCGAAACAGAAACGTGCAGCAACGTCCGTCCATGCTACAAAAGAAAGTGCCGCAAGTTGCGAAGTATGCCCACTCATCCTGTGTTGCTTGCTTCATCTTGCTTGCCCCTGCAAAGCAGCGTTTGCAATCACACCCCTGGTCGCTGACCTTACTCCCGCAACGGACAGAATGCATGCTCAGGGGCAGCACAGATTTCGGGAACAAGGAACACCAACGTTTAACATCACCAGTGCTGAGAAACTTCTTCACAGCGTGAATGCGCTTGAAGCTTTTAACAAGGCCTGGTCCTCGCTAATTGGTGCACATTGCACAGGTCAATGTAGAGCCAACTGCAACGGCCAATTCGGCAATGGGCTCATTTCCTGCATTCATATCGCACCCTATCAGCCCAGTCGAATCAAACACAGCCTCCGTTTTAGCGCAGGTGATGCTCCCCTGTCCCACGAAAAATCCGCCAAAAGGCCAGGATTCCCATTTTTACACGATAGTTGCTGTTGTGGGTCTTTGGAGCACGGCTCACTACCCAAACCCCAAATCTCCCAATACTAACAAAGAATATCAGCAACAGTGTCCACTGTTGCTGAAGTAGTAAAGGGCCCCCCCCCAACAAAGGAGGTCCCTAGATTCATATCTTGAGGCCCAGTTCAATTATTGTTTAGTATCGCTGGAGCTTCCTTTTGAGACCTTGGTTTGAGTGTGCAAAGAAAACATGAGCTTGAAAGGGCCTGAAGCTTGACCAGCATCAGCTGTCTAGTTATTTAACTAGCTGAGAGCTATTTACATGGTATGTCTTCTCATATTCTTGATGGGTTGGGGGGTGCTTGTCTTTATTCCAGGTGCCTTTACAAATTTCTCGGGTTCGGCAAATCTAAACCATAGAATTTCCCACCGATCCCAACTCTAGTCCTATTGGCGGGGAATGCTAGACAAACTAGACCAAGTAACCAAGACTAAACTAATGCTAAATCGATACTTGTACTAACTAAAATGCAAAGAGCATCATGTCTTCCTCCATTCATGGGACGCGTCTGAAGCGACCAGTATTTGCGTTGCGCAGCATTGAACACTGAAGGCTCCAAAAGGCCAAACACAGCTTGCACAACCTGCAGACACAATGGACACATTGAAGCGGAGAGAAACGCACTGGCAATGTGTCTCGAAAGCCGAGCTCTTGCAATTCAGCTGCTGTCTCGGGGGCGGCCTCGATGTTCTCCAACCTAAGAATGCGACGTCTTCTGAAGATCTAAAGGGGTGGCGGGGCCTATACCAAACAAAAACAAGGCATACAAGGCCTCCTCCAAACAGAAAAACGTGATTGGCCAGGCGCGAGAAAGCGAAAGGCGGCTGTGATGTTCCACTGAACCGATTGCGAGAGCTGCTCACAGGCTCCAACTGCATGTGCTTCCAAAGGCAAGCGTCCATGTGATCAGGGCAATGGACCTTCTCTATTTGAAGCAAGCTGGTACCAGGCACAAGTCTGTGGCACCACCCAGGGAGGTGTCTTGGTGTAAGCACATCCAAAGTTGCTAATGTCTTTGCAAAGCCATCGCGCGTGGATATGCCAAGACACTTGGGCACAGCGCCCATGCGATTTTGACGACGAGCACTTTGCAGTGTGGCTGTGCGATCCCGCTGCCTCGAGAGACTCGGGGAGGGTTCCCTTGAAAGGGCCGTCGACACAGGGGGGGCTTTCTGGGTGCGGTTCAGATGTTGTTTCTCTGAAGGATTGGCCTGACCCAACTCCAGGAGCTCACTTTTCTTCTCTTGCCAACTTGGCAAACATTCTGCAGGACCCTGGGCGACCCTGGTGCTGTTGATTCGTGATCTCAATCAACTTTGGCCACTAGCCGAGCTGCAAGATGTAAATGTAGTTGGCCCACTCCGATCCAATCGGGTTGTCTTCCAGGTCCACTCGCAGAATTCGGTGGTTCACTCGCAGCAGGTCGACGACCCTCAGCGGCTGTCACTGAAGGCTGGCAAACTTCCAGAAATTCACTGTATCTGGTCAGCGGGATAGTCATGTGGACCACACTTTTTCCATCTGCTCCTGACAGGAAAACCTCTTCGAAGGAACGGGACATGTTTGGTAGGCGTATTCCCACTATCCAACTACGAACTGGCTGAGATAATAAAGCAGTCTACTCTGGGCTGCAATGCACGCACATCGCGAAACTGAACCAAGGCCAGCGATTCCATGAGCAAAGCCAGCGCGCTTCGTTGCATTCATACAGCTTCACAGTAGGATCAATAGGTGCGCCATGGTAGATAGTAACATGTGCCCAATCCTCACAATCATGCACACCCCCTCGGCTCGGGTGGGCACTTATCGAAAGTTCAGCCATTGAAAACATCCTCAGGGTCCCATCAAGCCTTGATACAGGAGTAACATAGATGCTTGGCGCTAGATTCCTTCTATCGATCCCGACCGAGGCTCTTTACAGCGCCCACCTGGCCGATGTGGTTCTTCCCCAGCTTCAGCTCCTTCCGCTGCCGAAATGGTGGCCATTTTGACAACTCATGTTGGTGAAAGCTACCGCGGGGCACATCTCAGGGTCCGGTTCATAAGGTTGCACATGTGCAACTCCTCAACGCCAGGCGGGAGGCAAACCGCGTAGCCTTTGCGAGCTGTGATGCTCCATTCGGCAGGCTTCCTGCTTTTTGGTGGCCGTTACAAGGCGTGCGCCGTCCCAAGGTGAACCGACGTTGGCAGCGTGCAAGCAAAGCTGAGTCACTGCCATGAACATGAGAGTCGCGGCTGCGACTTTGGAGAATGCCTGCTACTCTGTACTAAGACTGTCCGATGTATCACAGTCAGGAATAGATACATTAGATTATATCAGAACTAGAGTTAGATTGGATGAATAGGCATATATATACATAAATAAATATAAATATACATATATATATATATACACGTCAATTCGTGAAACACCCTTGAACACAAACAGCATGCCGACGCAGCCGGGCCGTCTGTACACTCTAACACACATGGCTCGTGCATCAAGCTGCAACACATGCGGAGTTTGAACAACCGGCTCCATCTGTACAAGTTGAAAGAGCTGAAATCCGCTCCTTCAGGCTCGGATGCTGTGCCAGGGCCTGGCACAAGCTGTGAACTCCTTCAGAGCCCAGGGCGTTGTCACCTCATTGTGTCTGCAGAGTTGACAGCGATGAGGCACACAGGCAAATCAAGTGACCATTTTTCCTCTCGCTGAAGAAGTAGCAAACACATTTTCTCAACACCGTAAGTGAGCGCAAGGGATCTCGGCGCAACATTAGACTTGTTGATTCTGGCCCTTAGGGAAGGTCACAGCACAGTCTCGTTCCACTCTGCAAGCCAAGCTGAGAACCCTTTGCATGAGGCGTTTTTAGATATCACTAAAACTGAGGCAGGGTCTCAGATCCAAGTGCCGCAAGCTCCTCGGTGCACGACAGGCAGCCACTGGCGCATGGCGGGAAGCTAGATTCTTAAACTTTGAGGGCCTTGAAGTGCTCAACTCACGTGCTAACATGTCCACAGCAACAAGTGAAGGAACAGCGCGTGAATTTCCAGATGCGCAACGTTTGCAATCTCAAATGATGCAGTGCCGGCCGGCGCCAAGGAGGTTGCGCCTCATCCAAAATTGTGGTTTGCCGTTCCTCCTACTGTTGCTGTCAGGATGTTCCTGGGCTGGGGGAAGCTTGTCGGGGGGCGGCCTTCTGTGCAAGAGCCCAGGCCATCTGACTGAACACACCATGTGACGCTCAAGTGCTTCAATCTCTCCAAGGCGCTGGTCATCCCTCAACGCCGCAGCCACAAAGCGCAAGGTGCTGCGATTCATGCCCAGCTGGCAGCCTGCGAGGTCCAGCCGCACCACCTGAACGTCCGGGCGAAAGGGCGGCCATGCTTGTCAGTTGAGATGTGTGAGGGCTCAGCCACAAAATGAGAAGCTATTGAAACCAGATTGGGCAGCTAAAACATCAGTTGGTCACAAACGGGACGAGACACACACACAAATACAGCGGAACTTGAGCAATGCATCAAGCCCACTATGAGTAACAGTGCAATGGGGGATGCATCTCTAGATTCCTCGTATGCATTGAGTTTCCAACTAAAGTACCTCATGGAGGTTGTGTTGCTTCAAACACACACTGAAGGCGGGCGTCTCTCCAGCAGTGGGAGCATGGCAAATCAACCGAACAACAGCTTACTCTAGTGCATTCTGCAGTCCGTTTCTGGACTTGAATTTCTGGATTGTGGCTTTTTAACTGGGTATGTCTTGAGGCCCCGCGTTGCGGAGCGGTCACCCGCCACCAATAGATGCGCGCTTTCTCCGTTCTTGCCCCTGACTATTCTTGCGTCTGATTGCAGGTATAGATGTACCTTGGCAGAGAGTCGCCCTCCGATACGCGGGCTCATCAAAACCTGGGTGATGCAATTTTATGCTGGTCGCTTCGTCAAGCTGGTATGTGCAGGAGACTGGACTTCTGTTCTCATGGGTCGGCCCCGGTCGACCCACCGCACGCACACATACGCACACACACACACACAACAAACAACTGGCCTCACATTCGCCAACAAACAGGTGTCCTGCCTCAACAAGCCCCCGCACTTCCAAGGCAAAATGCCCATGGCCCATGCCAAGCTGTGCCAAGGCGCCGCGGGCTGTCGTGAGAAGAACTCTGCCATGAGCTGCGCCTGCCAGGTGCCCGCTAAACACGGCCCCCTCCGCCCCCTCCGCGCCCTGGCGCGCCTGGTGCTCCGGAAGGCTGGCAAACTCTAGGGTTAGCGGCCCGGGCAAAAGCTCCGCCAGGAATGGCAGCAGCTGCTGCCAGCGACTCTCCTCGCGCGGGTCAGGTCACACTTCCGAGTCGCTTCATGTGTCATTGCAACTTGCTCCCTGCTCCCAAATGTTGCCGCAAATCAACTGCCACCCTTGGAGTGTCATACTTCTACTCAGGAAAGCCGAGCAAATAGTGATTTGGTTCAGCCCTCGGTCTGAGCCTCGCAAAGGGGCCCATAGCTGTCATTATCAGACTCATCTGCCCGCTTATATCTCAAGTTCCGACGTCAATTGCATCAAGCCGGCCGCAATCGCTGTCGCATCCTGGCAACTTGCCGGCTGCACCCAAGAATTCCCCAAGAATTCTCAAACTCTCAGCTGTTGGGCTTCCAAGCTGCAACGAGACTTGGCCACATTTGGACCTTGAAGCTGATACCGTGATCTGTCGATACTCCGGGACCCTGCCTCAAAGACTTCCTCCAAGCAGTGGAGGCACCCTGTCTTTCCCCAGCTTGCTGCAACCTCGAGGCTGGCCAAATAGCCTCAGCTCTCGCCCGCCTCTGGGGAGGGCAGAACTGTCACCAAAAGCTCTCCTAAGAGGCACGGGCATTCTCATGACTCAAACAGTCGCATGCCAAGCTCGAATTGAGAAACCATCATCAAGCTACTCTGAATCCATTATTTTAACACCCTCCTGCGGGCATGCGCGATGCACCCATACGCTGTTCGTGGAAACCACCAAGCAGCTCTGGATGCAGGGGCAGGGAAAAGAGTAGTAGACAACGTGCCGATCCCAGGAATGCCAGCATTCCTCAGCTTTGCGCATTTCACAGTTGCTCCTTCAACAGGGCCTAGCATTTTCGAACTTAGGGCTGCCCCGTTTGCATGGAAGTCAAGGAGCTCCCTTCGAAAAGGCCCTTTCACTACTAGAGGCTCCTATATTTCCCACCCTTGCCCAAAGAGCAAACATGGGCCAACACGGAAACCTAGTTGGCAACTCAGGGCATCACCAAATCACAACGTGCTGCGTTCTGCTCAGACGCCGATATAATGTTGTGCTATTCAATGTTTCCCCTCTCCCTCCAGCAAAATGTTCCTTTGGACTCCGATCAATAGCTTCAGGAAAGAATTAGTGCAAATCCAGCTCCCGCCTGTGAAATCCGGACACAAAAGGCTCTGGTTGGCACTGCAAGAGGTAACGGAAGGAGAATCAACTGCCAAGTCGACAAAGATCTTCCGTCAAGGTGCACATCGCCTGCAGCACAAAGGTCAGGGAAGCGCACTTGTGAAAGCTGTGGTTCCAAAACCGAATGTGGCAACATAGATGGAGTACTGACAACACGCACATTGGACAAGCATTTGCAATCATTTCTATTCCGCCCGTGGCAACATTACTTGGAGATTGACATCCAGCATTTCTGTTGAGTGGACTCAGTCGCAACGTCCAAGAACGCCACACACAAGGATGCTTGCTACCAAGTAGAAGGCCATCAAAGGATGCATGGGCCATACCCCATTACCCATGGCCAAGAATCTTACCATCCGCTTCCATACTCCAAACGCATAAACAACTCGAGCAATGGCAGTTTGGATTAGGAGGCAGCTCTGTGATGCGTACTAAAGAGTGCAGTTGTAAATGTTGAATAAGGTCGTACTTTTTGTGCAAGCATGCCTTGGATGCCTCGCCAGCATACCTGCCAAGCCGTGCCAACCCATGCTACTTCTTGCTAAACCATCACTCTGAACACATGTGAAACCAAGCACGATCAACGTCACCAGCTCATTCTTCTCTGAAACCTCCTGGCGGGTCTGAGGACCAGGGAATTTCGGCTGCTTGTTGACCTGTTCCAAGCTTGGGCCACAAGCCTCGGCTTCAGGCCTCAGGAGCCAGAAGTCCTCATCGCGGAGCTCCTGGAGCTCCCGCCAGGTCGCCATCAAAGCAGAGGAGCCTGCGAGTTGAGTCAGGAAATTCGCTGATCAAGGCGGCAATCCGTTCATTGCTATGCGGAACTCAAGCGTTTAACGCACCTGCCCCGAACCACATGACATATCCAAACTGCAGTCCCGGTGTTTTGGAAAACCTGGCAGCTAATGCAGAAGCAAACTGGCTTGCTTCTGCAATACCGAGCTGACCCACCACAACTACTTTGCCACTTTAGAGGGCTCCGTTGGCATCACAAAAGAGACAGCTGAACCCAGAAAAACCCGAACACCTAAACCCTAAAAGCCAAGCCTCTTTCCCACAACCCCCCCCCGTCTCCATCCCGTCGGGGCAGCTCCGCATCCGTCCCGTGGGGGCGTCCGGCACGTCCGGCGCCTGCGAACTCGATCACCGCGGTGGCCTCCTCCTCGTCAAGGCGGTCGCTGGAGGTCTCCAAGGCCTTCAGCGCAAGGAACTGCAGCGCCATCTGCAGGTGGTCCCCTGCCAAAGACCGATGTTTAGATCTACAGCCTTGCTCTGTCTCGCTCTTTCTCTCTCTCTCTCTCTCTCTCCCTCTCTCTCTCTCTCTCTCTCTCTCTCTCTCTCTCTCTCTCTCTCTCTCTCTCTCTCCCCTCTATATACAAATGGTATAGATTGTACGCATGCATGTATGTATGTATGTACGTATGTATGTATGTGCGTGTGTATGTGTGTATGTGTGTGTTTATGTATGCATGCATGCATGCATGCATGCATACATACATACATACATACACACATACAATCATACAGACATACATACACACATACACACATACACACATACACACATACACACATACCACATACACACATACACACATACACACATACACACATACACACATACATACATACATACTTGCATGCATGCATGCATGCATGTATGGTGTATGTATGTATGTATGTATGTGTGTATGTATGTATGTGTATGTGTACAATCTCTCTCTCTCTGTCTCCATGTGTATGTTTGCGTACATGTCTATATATATATATATCCGCCGACCCTTGTCCTCAAAAGTGGAGGCGCACGATAGTTATGATCGCAATCCCCTATCATCATCATCATCATCAGCGTTAGGCCCAATTGGTGATGCACGGGATGCATTGGTGCTGCTGGACATCGCTGCTGGGGATGCTCGTTGCTACTGGAGATGCTAGGGATGCGTAGGGATGGTCATCATCATCACGATGATTGTTGCTGTTGATGCTGTGGATACGTAGTGATGATTATCGCCTTAGTATTCTTATTATACACATGTCAAAAGTCACGTTAGGCACAGTTGGAGATGCCGGCAATGCGCAGTGACGATTATCATCATCCTGATCATCACTGATGGAGGTGCTAGGGATGCGTAGTGATGATTATCATCGTTGCTGGAGATGCTGGGGGTGCGTAGTGATGGCTGTTATTATCAGTGATGAAAATCATCATCCTGCTCCTTGCTGCTGGCGATGCTAGGGATGCGTAGTGATGATTGTCATCATCCTGATCATCGCTGCTGGAGATGCTAGGGATGCGTAGTGATGATTATCATCGTTGCTACTGGGGATGCTAGGGATGATAGTGAGGGTCATCATCATCACGATGATTGTTGCTGGCAATGCTGTGGATACGTAGTGATGATTATCGCCTTAGTATTCTTATTATACGCATGTCAAAAGTCACGCTAGACACAGTTGGAGATGATGCGTAGTGATGATTATCATCATTGCTGGAAATGCTGGGGGTGCGTAGCGATGGTCATCATCATCAGTGATGATTATCATCATCCTGCTCATTGCTGCTGGAGATGCTAGGGATGCGTAGTCAAGACCATCATCATTGCTGCTGGACATCGCTGCTGGAGATGCTAGGGATGCGTGCTGATGATTATCATCATCTTGATCATCGCTGCTGGAGATGCTAGGGGTGCGTAGTGATGACTATCACCGTTCCTGCTGGACATCGCTGCTGGAGATGCTAGGGATGCGTGCTGATGATTATCATCATCTTGATCATCGCTGCTGGAGATGCTAGGGATGCGTGGTGATGACTATCACCGTTCCTGCTGGAGATGCTAGGGATGCGTAGTGATTGTCATCATCGTCACGATGACTGTTGCTGGCGACGCTGTGGCTGCGTAGTGATGATCAGATTCTTAATACATTCCAATAGTCACGAGCATCTGCTCGTTGACAGCTGGCGGAGTTTGCGCGCTAGAGACAGGCTCCTCATCATCATCATCGTCATCATCATCACCGTCATCATCATCCATCAGCATCATTGGCATATCTTTGTAGTCATCGTCATGACGATCATCAGCATCCTGTTCTTTTCTTACATCCCTTTCGCACATATTCGCTTGTTTCTTCCTATACTTCAGCTATGGGTAGAGATGGTCATGTTTAGCGCACGTCGCGGCAACTAGTCGCTGCGTCTCTGCGGCAGCATTGGTCATGCAGAGGATGCTCCGATGTTGAGGAATCTTGGAGGATCTACTGAGCGGTGCTGCGCAAGGCGACAGCTGCGCGGCCCGCCGTCTAAGAAGGCTTCGCAAAAGAGTTCCGGGCTGCGAGCGCTTGGCGCCCCTCGCATCGCTGCAATCGCACGCCAAACTTCTGCAAGGATGCTTTGCTTCCGCTTCGCGCGCGTTCTGGCAACTCGCTGGCGACTTCTACGCGCAATGTCTTCCAGCTGTTGCTCTGCTAAGCATGCGTCGCATGTCTGCGTTCCGTTCTTGCTGCTTTGCCGTCGCACGTGCCTCCTAAAGCGCTGTTTCGGCCGTGATGTCTTGCAGTTTGCACAAGTCCAAAACCCTCGTTGCTTCTGATTGCATGTCTTGCATTTTTCGACATCGCTCGCGAGCGCGCCATGCAGCCCCGCTGAAGTCTTGCTCTTCTTTTGTTTCTCTGCAACTGTAGCACTCTTGGGTTTCCTTGCAATTCAGACACACGCGCCGGTATGTTGCCCTGCCAGTGGGCTGCCAGCATTTGCAAACGCAACGCTGCCACGGATGACCGCTCTGTTTGCGCCTGCCAACACACTCACACGGTCACTGTCGTCGCGCTTCCATTGACCAGCTGCGTAGTCGCGTGGCTCTTTGCGTTCTCGACACTCGCAGCATGGCTTTTCAATAACGTACTCTGCCGGATTTGCTCCCAGTCTATCGCCTCTCCTCGCCATACGCGGAGCACCGCTGGAAAGGCGCAAGGGCAAAGGGACGAAATATGAGTAGGCGTTCTTGACTTTCGACCCGCGTGACGGCGACATAACCTGTCAAGGGGTGCTCCAAGTCGAATCGCGACGTCAGCAACGGCTCCTTCCCGCGTGGTTAGGCCTTGCGCAGTACGGGCACAGTGGGAGCTGCCGCCGCGACACCTTGAGCTTCGGCTATTTCCGACGCTGCTCTACATGCCAGAGGCTGCGAACCGGTGCCACTGGAAGGATGCAATCGTTTCCGGCCCACGCCGCTAGGCAATTAGCCTGCTAGCTTCAGCTATAGGGGCTGCACCCGTGTGCCGCCGACCCTCGTCACTTGGTCGTGATGCGTTGCCTAAATCCGGCACCTCTGCGTCGCCAGCTCGGGCTTGCGGTTTTGCTTGCCTGTGGGAAACCCTCGCAAAACATCGCGTATATGCAGGGTTTAGGCCATGTGGCTGACATCATCAGGGCCTGGGGTTGGGCCTGGGTGATGCTTCAGCGGGGCTTGGTCTGCATCATCAAGACTTCCTTCCAAATAAGCCTCTCAACCCATGAAGCACTGTTTTTAGAAGGTATCGGAGGGGTATAAGCGAGGCTCATTCTTGCGCACATTGGCGCCAAGCCGGGCATGCCGGCGATGCTGGGTCCTCGCTCTACAAATACCGCCAAAAACTGCTGTGCTGAGCGTTGGGCTGTTGTTCTGTCCGATTTGCTTTTGCTGTGGCTGGCTCGCGCGCTGCGCGGTCCTTGCTTTTTTCCCGCTTTTTTGGGCCTTCTGGCGCGCGCGCGCGCGACCCCAGCCACACAACGCTGCTATTTACGGTGTTTTGTTGCATTTGCGTTTCCGGGCTGGCTTGCGGGCTATTCTTTTTGGGCTCTGGGGGTGGGGTGGGCAACATGCATAACCTACCCAGCCATATCATAGCACAGGATACGTTTCTCATACAAAAAACATGACATGACATGGTATAACTTCAAAAAGGCGTACCCGGCTAGAGGCCGCAGGCCCGGAAAAAAAATATATATATATATATATATATTTATATGTGATACTATACGTATGGGTCAAAAAGTATATAAGTCTATCTACGGAAAATATTCATACATAACATCCATGTCCGCTAACGCTACCCCACCATCAAACATTGGCATACATTGGCCCAGCCTGCATTGCTGTCCACTCCTCTCTGGCGACCTCGGCGCTGCATCTTCACCTGGGATGAATCCCACATGCAATCCGCATGAAACTTGCTCCCGGCAGGTGTGGGCCATTTCCCCAAAAACATGACGCTCTTTATCACCAGCATGCCCCTGACTTGCAGTGCAGCACCCTGCCTTGGAGTGGCACACACAACTGTTTAGAAGTTTAGATGATGGTGGAGAACAAAAGCCAACGTGACATTCTAACTTTTAGGAGTTGTGATCAACACCCCAGCGATCGTCCTGAAGCCAAGATCCACAAACTCAGACTCAGGTATGAAAGAAGTCATCAGAATGATGTTGGTTGCCACCTCCTTACACCCAGTCCGCAAGAAAAAGCTCGAACACTAGCAAACAAACGACTGCACCATGTCCGATGTCCATGCGAGCGGTGACCAACGGTATATGCACTTCGCTCCTTCTGCATTGATGTCTCACCCTGTCTTACACCGGCATTTGCTGACTGGCCTCCTAGCCCCAGAACATTCAAACGCAATGCCTGAAGGGCCAACCAAGACCATTCGACCTCAATGAAGGCTTCATCAGGGGGTTCGTTTGTTGCTGGGCTTTTCTAGACTTTGTCCATTACGTCTATGTCATCTCCCTGCAAGTTCGTTGAAGACCTGCCTGTTGGACACTCAGGAAGGAGACTGCCCCAGACCGGGCAGGTGTGAAGTAGCCTCTTGACAAGCGAGATGTAAAACAGGTCCCGTGCCTTTCACGCAGGGCGGGGGGGTGCGGGGGGGGGAGGGTTGAGGAAGAGTGTCTGGAACAGAGCTCGCTCGATCCCAAGTGTCCATTTGGGTTCCTAAGAAAATGCCACTGGCTGAAGCCCGAATTTCACCCGCGGCACATCCTGCAGACTTTGCATCAGCAACCTGCAGGCAGCTGCCACCAGCTCTCCCAGCAGCGCACAGGTCCCAACGCTGGAAGCCGCCGGCTGCGCCTACAACACGAAGTGCGGCGCACGGGCAAAAGCTTGCAGTACCAATGGGTGCAAGTAGATCGCACAGTTCTCACATTGTGGTTTGGACATCCCCGGGAATTCTGCAATCTACACCCTGCAAATGGTTTATCCTAAATGTTGTTGGTGGCAGATCCTCTCACCAAATGCTGTTGGGTGGTGTACTGCGTCCCACAAGGCTTCATCCATCTCAAGTGCAGAAAGTTCATAGGAAGGAGCAAGTCGGGTCTTTACACTTTCCTCTTCCATCACTGAGTATTTGGCCTCCCTCTGAGCAAAAAGGCCTCAAAGACAGCAGGGTCATTGATTTATTTGAAGCAGTACAAGTAATGCTCTTGCACACATTCCGCACTCTTGCCGCAAAACGGACTGAAGCATCGATGGCATATTACTCACCTTCCTTGAGCTAGATGTACTGAATTGAGTCTAATCGTCGTGAAGGAACAAACCCTCATCCCTAGAAGACTCTTTGGAGGTGAAACATGGGCATCTGCTTTCGGCTCCAAACTTGCAAGATGGAACGCTGGCGTCAAAGGCGGAAGCATAGCACTGCTTGCATCCCGTAAGCCTGCAGGAGTCTGGACATTCAAGGCTCGGTTGGAGCAACAATTGTTTCAGCTGAGATGCTATCTAGTATCTACAGATCACCAAGACCGGAAGCAGAAGGCTTGCCATCGCCAGGATGTCAGAGGGAAAAATAACCAAGCCTGAAACGTACAAATTAAGCGCTGGCTCCCATTGATCGAATTGAACAGGAAGAACGCGAACTGCGAGATCTTTGCCCCAGGGGCTCAGCTGCATGTTCAACTTTCGTCTGAATCGAACAACGCGTTGACCCTCGAACAAGCGCTGGGCCCTGTGACCCCTGCGCGCCAGGACCCTGGCCTGAGCTGGAGGCTTTAGCGGTGGCAGGGAGACGCGATCGGGCTCATCAGCACCTGGGAACGAAGCTACATTCTCACATTGAATGCTGCGGATGCTGTGACCTTGAATGGGATTGAGTTACAGGGATGGTGGGGGGGGGGGTTGAGCGGCAGCTTTTCAGCTGGCCATGATGTTTCATTCATGGATGGCCGGCCCCCTTTCGCGACCGGTTTCGAATCGCTATCGGTATCGAATCGAATCGGTTCGGTTTCAGCCAAAACGCACAGATGCATTTATTCGGGTCCGGAAAACGCATGCGACACCCGTCGTTGTCCACCGTGTGGGCCTGAGTGGCGGGCTTCTTCTACTGCTAGTACTTCTATTACTACTACCCAGAGGCTCGTGGGCCCTCCTAGGGAGGGTCCGGGGCCCTCCTAGAAAGGGACCGGCCTGTTTGTCGGATACCGGGCCCTCGTGGGCCCCCAGTGCAATCCGGACGGGATGGATGGAACCAAAATGGCCTCGAATCACACCTCTCCTAGCATTACTATCCGACGGTTATCCGACGGTTATCCGACGCCGGGCCCTCGTAGACACTCAGTTTTGGGGGCCCAGGCCCAATTATCCGACGGTCATCCGACGGCTATCCGACGGCCATCCGACAGTTATCCGACGGCTATCCGACGGCCATCCGACGGTTATCCGACGGTTATCCGTTGGTAATCCGAAGCTTGTTTGCAGCCCAAAGGTCCAACAAAAAACCAGCCCGAAACCTCCTACAACCGCGAGGGCCCGCGAGGGCCCAAGGGCCCGAAACATGAGTTGGGAGCGTCTGGCAGTAGAGTTTCTATTTTGTTTGTTGTGTGTGGCTGCCATGTTTTTTGTGCAGTTGGATTTTTTCTAGGCCTGTCACTGGCCTGCTTGGTCGGGCTGCTGATTCTCTTGAAGTGGGATGTTTGTAGTAGGGCTGTGTGGATGTCGCTTTCTTGGCGCAGTTGCTTTTCTTCAGGGCCTGTCGCTGGCCTGCTTGGTCCGGCTGCTGCTTTTCGTGAAGCAATATTCTTCCGAAGGGCTTCTAGTTTGCTTGTTCTGTGTGGCTGCCGTTTTTTTTGGTTGTTGTGCAGTTGGTTCTTTTCAAGGCCTGTCACTGGCTTGCTTGGTCTGCCTGCTGCTTTTCGTGAAGTGTTTTGTTTCCATTGGGTTTCTTTGTGGCTGCCGCTTTGTTTCTCAGTTGGGTTTTTCTTCAGGGCCTGTCACTGGCCTGCTTGGTCGGCCTGCTGCTTTTTGTGATGTTTTTCAGTATAGAGATTATTGTTTTTTGCTTGCTGTCTGTGGCTGCCGTTTTTTGGTGAAGTTGGATTTGTTTCAGGGCCTGTCACTGGCCTGCTCGGTCGGGCTGGTGATTTTAGCGAAGTGGTATTTGTTGTAGGGCTTCGAATTTGCTTGTTGTGTTTGAATGCCACTTTTTTGGTGCAGTTGGATTTTGTTCAGGGCCTGTCACTTGCCTGCCTGGTCGGCCTGCTGCTTTTTGTGAAGTGGGATTTTTCCCGAGAGCTTCTAGTTTGCTTGTTGCGTGTGCCTGCCGCGTTCTTTTTTGTGTAGTTGTTGTTTTTATAGGGGCCTGTCACTGGCTTGCTTGGTCGGGCTGCTGCTTTTCGTCGCTTTTCGTGAAGTTGGATTTGTTTAGTAAAGCTTCTAATTTGCTTGTTGTGTGTGGCTGCCATGTTTTTTGTGCAGTTGGATTTTTGCTCAGGGCCTGTCACTGGCCTGCTTGCTTGGGCTGCTGCTTTTCGTGAAGTTGGATTTATTTAGTAGAGCTTCCAATTTGCTTGTTGTGCGTGGCTGCCATGCTTTTTGTGCATGCTGTCACTGGCCTGCTTAGTCAGGCTGCTAATTTTCGTGAAGTTGGATTTTTGTAGTAGGACTTCTAATTTGCTTTTTGTGTGTGGATGCCGCTTTTTTGGTGCAGTTGTTTTTGTTTCAGGGCCTGTCGCTGGCCTGCTTGGTCGGGCTGCTGCTTTTCGCGGTCTTGTCTTTTTTAGTACAGCTGCTGCTTTGTTTGTTGTGTGTGGCTGCCATTTTTTGTTGTTGCGCAGTTGGATTTTGTTCAGGGCCTGTCACTGAAGCGCCTGGTCTGCTGTTTTTCGTAAAGTTTTTTTGATTTTTTAAGTAAGAGTTGCTAATTGCTTGTTGTCCGCGGCTGCCGCTTTTTTGTTCAGGGTCTGTTGCTGGCCTGCTTGGTTGGGCTGCTGCTTTTCGCAAAGTGCTTTTTTTCTGGTTTCTAATTTGGTTGTTGTCTTTGCCTGCCTGTTTTCTGCAGATGTTGTTGGCAATCTTGCTTGCGAAGAGCTGTTGCCTCACGCAGGGTGGTGGGCGGTGGGCGGTGGGCGGTGGGCAGGACATGCGGGTCATCAGGCGGGCCATGCAGGCCACAGCCGGACCAAGCAGGCCAGCGACAGGCCCTGAAGAAAAGCAACTGCGCCAAGAAAGCGACATCCACACAGCCCTACTACAAACATCCCACTTCAAGAGAATCAGCAGCCCGACCAAGCAGGCCAGTGACAGGCCTAGAAAAAATCCAACTGCACAAAAAGCATGGCAGCCACACACAACAAACAAAATAGAGTTTCCCAGACGCTCCCAACTCATGTTTCGGGCCCTTGGGCCCTCGCGGGCCCTCGCGGTCGTAGGAGGTTTCGGGCTGGTTTTTTGTTGGGGGCCTTGGGCTGCAAACAAGCTTCGGATTACCATCGGATAACCGTCGGATAACCGTCGGATGGTCCGTCGGATAGCCGTCGGATGGCCGTCGGATGGCCGTCGGATAGCCGTCGGATAACCGTCGGATAATTGGGCCGGGGCCCCCAAAACTGAGGGTCTACGAGGGCCCGGCGTCGGATACCGTCGGATAGCGTCGGATAACCGTCGGATAACCGTCGGATAGCCGTCGGATAGCCGTCGGATAACCGTCGGATAGCCGTCGGATAGGGGAGGTGTGATTCGAGGCCATTTTGGTCGATCAGCGATCCATTGATCCCGTCCGGCTTGCACTACGGGCCCACAAGGCCCCGTATCCGACAAACAGGCGGGTCCTTTCAGGAGGGAGGGCCCCGGACCCTCCCTAGGAAACCCCAACCAAGCAGGCCAGCGACAGGCCCTCCAACTGCGCAAAAAAACGGCATTTGAACTGTTTGAACTCCCCGTGTAAAGAAACATCACTTTTGGGACCCGGGATTTTGAATTTTTGAATTGTTTGAACTCTCCAAGTATACAGAAACATCACGTTGGGGACCCAGGATATTGATTTGTTTGAATTCCCCAAGTGCAGAAACATCACGTTGGGGAACCAGGATTTTGAACTTTTTGAATTCCCCAAGTAAAGAAACATCACTTTGGGGTTTGAACTTTTTGAACTCCCCAAGTAAAGAACATCACTTTCGGGACCCGGGATTTTGAACTCCCCAAGTAAAGAAACACCTGGCGGAACATCACTTTCGGGACCCGGGATTTTGAACTCCCCAAGTAAAGAAACACCCGGCGGAACATCACTTTCGGGACCCGGGATTTTGAACTCCCCAAGTAAAGACACATCACATCACTTTAGGGGACCCGGGGTTTTCAGCGTTTTGAACTTTGTTGGTCTCCCCAAATCAGGAACTAGGATTTCACAACCCGGGTTTTTGACCTTTTTGTCGGTCTTTCAATCTCCCCAGCCCAGGAACTCAGATTCGAGGGGCCCTGCAAAATTCGCAAGTAAAGAAGCATGAATTGAGCGACCCAGCTTGCGTAGCTTCTACCAACCCAAACTAAATGAAACAAGCGGCCCCTCCAAACAACCAACAAAAACTAAATGAAACAAGCGGCCCCTCCAAACAACCAACCCAAACTCAATGAAACAAGCGGCCCCTCCAAACCAGCAACCAAGCCTAATAGAAAACCGGCCCCTCCAAACCACCAACACAAATTAAATAAAACTAGAACTATCAACCCAAACTAATTGGAAAAAAATGCCCCTCCACACAACCAACCCAACCAAGCCAGCAACCCAAACCAATGGAAAAACGGCCCCCTCCAAACTACCAACCCAAACCAAATAGAAAAAACGGCCCCTCCACGCAACCAAACGAAACTAAATGAAACAAGCGGCCCCTCCAAACCAGCAACCCAAACTAAATTAAAAAAGCGGCCCCTCCAAACTACCAACCCAAACTAAATGAAACAAACGGCCCCTCCAAACTCCAAACCAGCAACCCAAACTAGATGGCCTCCTAACTACCAACCCAAACACAATGTCAAAAACGGCCTCTCCAAACCAGCAAATGGAAAAGCGGACCCCTCCGACCAAACCACCAACGACAATTAAGTGAAACTAGAACCACCAAGCAAAAGTAAATAGAACAAGCGGCCCCTCCACACAAACAACCCAAAACTAAATGAAACAAGCGGCCCCTCCAAACCAGCAACCCAAACCAAATGAAAACAGCGGGCCCCTCCAAACTACCAACCCAAACTAAATGAAATAATTGCCCCCTCCAAACCAGCAACCCAAACGAATGCAAAACCGGCCCTCCAAACCACCAACCCAAACTAGATGGAAAAGCGGGTTAAATGAAGCTAGAACCATCAGCCCAAACTAAATGGAAAACGCGGCCCCTCCAAACCTCTTCTTTGCAAAGCCAGGCCTTCCCCGTTATTTTTATTATGCTTGTGGGTTCTCAGACGCGCATTTTATTGTACCAGGTCCACATTGTATTGCGCCAGGATGATGCCATTGTTCGGGTTATGATTATACATGGCTATGGTTTTTAAGGGGCATGCAAAGCCCGACGCGGCGCGAACCTTGGTACGGAGGTATGTAACGGGGGCTCTTGTAACGCTGTAGCGAGACAACAGTGCTTGACACTTCCACAATTCCAGCTCGAAAGTTGCATTTTTTGATTCACCCGGCTGCAACGTTTCTTCTGCTGAAGGGCAAGCTCTTTGCAAGTTATTTACATCAATTCTGCTGTTTTAACTGTGTGTTGTTATCTTGTTTTCTATTTATTGTCTTATCTACTTGTTTGATCTTTTATTATTTGTTATGTTTATCTGTCTTTATCTCTTCCTAGTAAACGAAACAGTAGATAATTACTAAGTTCAGATTGAGTGTCCGGTATCTAGACTATCTATTTGCTTTCTCCAATCTGCGCTATGTTGCCACGAGCCTTAGTCCCCCACCCCCCAACCAGCCCGAGGGCCCGTGAGGGCCCGCGAGGGCCCGAGGGCCCGAAACATGAGTTGGGAGCGTCTGGGTACTAGTACTACTAGACTACTATAGCGACTACGCCTGCCACTTCTAGTACTACTTCTGCAACTACTACTACTACTACTACTACTACTACTACTACTACTGCTACTACTACTACTACTACTACTACTACTACTACTACTACTACTACACGACTGCCAGCACGAAAACAGCACGAGGTCTAAATGCGTTTTGCCGGGCCGAAAAAACGCATCTAGCTTTCATTCTTGCCGAAAACCATGGTCCGGGGCCAACTCCGGAAACGAGCATAGGAACGGAAGGAGCAGGACGTGTAAATGCGTTTTGCCGGGCTTAAAAACCGCATCTGGCGTGTTTCCGGGCGAGCTACTAATACTATTACTACTACTGCTACTACTACTACTACTACTACTACTACTACTACTACCACTACTTCTTGTACTACTACTACTACCACTACTACTACCACTGCTACGACCACTACTACCACAAATGCTACGACAACTACTACTATCAGTCCTACTACTACTAC